TTTAAATGTTGGAGTCGGTTTAGGAGTTGACTTTTGAACAGGAGTTTGTACTTCCATAGGTTCAGGAGTTATTGAAGGTTTTGCTTGTGAAGGCGTTGGTTTTGGCGAAGGTGTTGGAGTTTGTTTAACTTCAGCTACTTCAGTATTATTTACAACATTTGCTTTATTTCTTTTCAACATCATTACTGCTCCTGCTGTAGCTAGCAAACCTAGTGGGAGACCATATTTTATATAAGGACTTGACCAAATGCTATTTTTGACAGGAGCTGGTGGAACACCTAACCTTGGTGAGACTGCTCTTTGCCATTGTGCAGCTCGTAAGAAATATTCAATAGGTGCTCCATAATCGTTTGGTAAAGTTTGTTTCATAGATGGTGAAGGTTCACGAGAGCTTGATGAAGAACTCATTTATAAGCTTTAAAAATAAACGTTCATTCTTTATTCCTCACTGTCGTCCGTAGCTAAGTTATAGTCATCTAATCTTATTATGGGGATGCCATTAGCACGCACCTGAATGGCAAAGCAACAATCCCTCATAAATCCAATAAGTGGCTTTGGTACGTTTTCAGTTGCTAGTTCAATAGGTCCTTTAACAGACAATTTGTATGTTATTGGAGCAGTAGATGTTTGACCTTGCTGGAAGCAAAAGTCCACTTCTGTTGGAAAACCACATAAGAAATGTGTGTTGTCATAGCTATCCCATTTATGTTCCACACTACCACATCACCAATGACCTCATAACATCTTCATTAAATCCAATCATATCATTGTTTGTATTGCAAGCGTTCGCAACCATTTCATAAAATACAGGTCCATATGATTTTTCAGGTTCTGCAGGCATATTTCCATAAGCTCCCATGGAAAGCTGAAGATATTTAAACTTAGGGTTCTCAAAATTAACATAATAGTTGTCTTTCTTTCTAAATAGTGCCCAAATACTTTTAACATTAATAGGCGTATAAGCTGCTGTAAATGTTGCACTTGAACTATCTGTATTCTTTGAGAATGAACCGTCCATAGGAATCCAATCCATAACTTTAACAGGAAAACATAAAGCCTCGTTTGTATAATGTTCTACAAGTTCTGTATAAATGTTAGGGTCTAAAGAGAATGACTTTGGATGAATGAAACATTCATTAAAATCCATCTTTGTTCGAAATAGTTGCTGGTTACAGTTGTAATAGTAACTGTTCCACTAGCTTCTACTGCCTTCGTTATCATAGTGAATGGTTCATTCCATGGAACAAATTTATTTGTCGGTGGATTTGAATCTGAAGCAAATGCAACTTTAAGAGTTGGATTGAAAGCAATGATATCATTTACAGATATAGATGTGCATTGTAAGCGTCGCTACTGAACTTTACTTTAAGCTGAATGTTTCCAGCAAATGCAGGAATAAATCTTATAGCTTCTAATGGTAAAATCTTTCTAACAGGAATTCTTAAACGAAGCTTAAAATCAAATGATTTTCCTGCTGTAATTGGACCACTAACAATTTGTCCTGTTCTGCATGTTCCCGAATGACTCCATACATCTTCATGTCGAGTCTTTGAGAAAACATCTACTTTCTTTATTTGTTCGGTAGTTTGTGAGTTTGAAGTTATATATGCTTCTTCTCTTGCGTTGTCTTGAGAATATACGATACGACCATTTGCAAGGATTTGATATCCAGCAACTGCATAGAAAGCGTCATCGAAACCAATCCAAAATCCTGGTGGGTTTGTTTTATTGGAACCTGAACCAATTTCTTTATCTACAATAAATTGACCTTCCATTTTATACGTAATGAATGTATTGTAAAGGTCCAACATATTTTCACCAGGAGGTGAGAGATTGAATGTTACCCATGTGTTATCTTTAGCAGTTCCAGGTTGTGATGGAATCTTTGCGTCAGAATATTTTCTATTAGTGTCACCAATTTGAACTGCATTGTCTATGATATCGAAATATGAGCGAATCTGATGAATATGCTCTGCTGGAGTAAATTCGTTTAGCTGTTCGTTCTGCATGTATTTACTTCGATAAAAATATCTATTTACTTCATTATTCTCACTCTTCTTCTTGGCATTCGTGGTGGAAGTTGTTTCTTGACATTTTCAATGAACTGTACATTCTCTTTTGTCTCAACTTCTTTCACTGGTGGGTCAGGGTTCTTTGACTCGGTTTGTTTTTCAATGAAATTCACGAACTTTGCAATAAGCTCTTGGTTCGTTATTGAAAGAACATCTGGCTTCTTTTCTTCTTGTTCTATTGACTTTTCAGTTTGAATAGAAGGTTTTATATGGGCTTCGCCCTCGGTGCCATACACCTTAATGTTGTCGCTCTCTGCATTCGCTAATGGAACCTTTCTTTTTCTTACATATATTTTACCATCTTTACTCTGACTTACGTAATAGAAAGGATGTTGTATTCCTCTTGCGTCATTTAATATAATAGACTCTCGCTCTGATTTTGACAAGCTCATTTTACATCGGTTAAAGTTTTAATTTTGTTTTTTATCTGCAGTCAAATGACTCAGACAAGCCCTACGGACAAGACCCAAGGGGTCATAGATGTTGAAGCATTGAAGAAAGAAATTCGTGAGCAAATTTTATCCGAACTGAAGGAACAAAAACAAGAACAAAAGCCAGAGAGACCAAAGAGAAAACTTAGTGAAAAACAACTAGCTGCATTAGCTGCTGGAAGACAGAAGAACCCACGTTTGCTGGCAAAGAAAGCTAGAGAAGAAGCAAAAGCAAAGGAAGAACAAAAAGCTAAAGAAGCTGAAGCAAAGAAAGAGTAAATGGTTTATTTTTATCCGAATTAAATGTATAGACAAATACCTTTAACTGTTGCGTTCAGTAGTGAAAACCCTGACGTCAAAATAAAGGGGAATAGAGTAACGTTTAAGTTTCCAACAGACTGGATTGTGAACATAAATGAAGAGAAGTACATTGGCATAACATCTATGTATATAACACGTGCATTTAGGAAAGTTGACTTTATACTTCAAGTCGAGATAGAAAATGACGAACAGTCTTTAAGCGCCCAAAACATTCACATATACAAATACTTTAAAGACGATACAACATTGTTGCAATGTATGATTTCATTTAATGAGATGTTCGAGAAAAAGTTCAACATTGAAGTACAAACTTTACAGCCTTTACGTGAGTTTCTTGCACAACTGAAAGAAGAAGGTAGTCAGCCACAACTTATAGACTTTCATTATGAATTTAATGAAAATGAAGATGGAACTCATGACTGTCAGTTTGTTATATATTCACCATTCAATGAAGTAGCTAAAGAGAAAGAAAATCCATTACGTATAAGGTTTCAAATCTCTGAACCCAATGAAGATTTCAAGAATGTTTTCAATTATGATGCAATGCTTCCGAGGAAAAATGAATTTTCAAAGATTGTAACACCTGGCATTTGGGATAGAAAGCAAGCTATATTATATTCAAACTTAAGTAAGGGAGTTGAAAATGAGTTCATTGGTCATACAAGAACTTCACCACTTCCTAACCCTAAATACTATAAATTAACTGGCTTCAATCGTGAGTTTTGGATAGACATGTTCTCCACTCATGACCATAACTGCCCAGTGTTCTTACCTCCAGACCATAAGGACTGTCTCTACATTGAAGCACAACTCTTAAACTCTACCATCGCAGTATTGTAAATGACCACATGGGCTTCGCCCTTGCCGCTAGCGGCTTATTTTTATCATGAATGACCTCATTGCTGACAAAAATAAATGACCTCATTCATGACCTCATTGCTGACCTCATTCATGACCTCATTGCTGACAAAAATAAATGACCTCAGAACTTCAACTTACGAATAAAGCTTGTTTTAGTCGTTATTGAGAAGTTAAACTTTTCAGCAAAGCAAGGACTAGAAGACTTACACAAGTCGAATCCAATCTCTTGACCATCATGAAGTGCTTTGTAAAGTTTCATTAAACTGAACTCAGAGTCTTTGTCATATGTTCCTTCAGGTATGTGAATGTTCTTATCTTCATTGTAATAGCATTGTATAGCTTCAGGAAACATTTCATTAGCTGTTAAAGCAAGGACGTCTTGTTTTACACCTTTACAACGTGCATGGAATGCAACTTCATTTAAATCATTCGTGAGTAAGTCTATGTAGGTCTTCTTTCCACAAAATATTGACTTGTATGCTAAACTTTGTTTTCCAGGTGTTATTTCTGCGAAGTCAGAATGGAACTGACCAAGGTTCTTTCCTATAAGTTCGCGACCGTATCTCTTCTTAAACTCTGCTGCAAGCTTTGGTATGTCTTCATTGAAAATATGCATGCTATCACAGTCCTGGTAAAATATTTGAAGTCCCATATCTTCAGCAGTACAGAATACTTCACACATTATTCTCTTCGACATAGATAGAATATTAACACCAAGTGGACAGAAGTTAAAGTGTCTGCAAATGCTTTTCGTTAGCTTGAAAATAGTTTTATCTGAACCATCCAAACCTTCGAACTTCACTATATGGTTGTAGTTTCTGATGGCATATCTTATAGCATCTTTGTCATCTACTATGGTTATTTTTGACTCAATAGGAGATAGAATAGTTTTGCCATAAATACTGTTCAGAATGAGCTTTATATTTTCTTGCAAAGGATTTCCTTCTTTCTTATACTTTAACCTTAACTCAAACAACTTCTTTACTTCATCTCTTATTCTAATATCTCTGTTTCCATCGTAATAGTATCCTTGCAACACTTCACATTTGACACCTTGATATTTTATGAGGTCTTGTAATGTTATATGGTCAACATACATGAGACAGCAAGTGTTTGAACTTCTGGGAACGTTAAGTTCTGGATTTAGTTCAGGGTCACAAACTATTAAAGGAAAGTGTCTATGTATTCCAATCTCTGTTATCTTAATGAGAACAAAGAAGCCAGACATAAACTTTTCACCAATGGGTTCCTTTTGGTCGTCATCGAATAAATGTCTCATGAGATACTCTGTGCTTAGCATCTCATCCTTCAATACTTTTGGAATTCCTTCTAAAGTATACAATCTTGCTATAGCGGATGGATATAATGAAACAGCGTCGAAGTCAGCAATGAGTTTCTTTTCGCTCTTTTGTTTCATGTTATCTGACAACATACATCTTCCACCTTGAATGCATCTCGAAATAAATTCTCTTGGTTTATTTGAGAGGTCATAAAGATTTCCATTCGGGAAGTACACTCTGTTCTCAAACAATTTGTTAGCAATAGAACAAATACTAACGTAGTCATAAACGTTTAAATCAAATTCTTTCAATAAGTCATTGCGGAACTTTACAAAACCTTCTCTTAAAATTCTTACATCTTGTTTGCAATAGAATGTGCTATATTTTTCTAAGTCGAAGTGGTTCTCATCTATTCTGCAACCTTTGATGGAATCTATGTTTTTCATGAATGTATCTGCATCCCGGATAAACTTACATGCTTCAGAAATGACACCAGTTCTGTTGTCATTTGCTAACAAAGTACTGCTGTAGTAGTTATATGGAAATACTTCTTTCGGTCCTGTTTGTAAGTTAAACATAGCAGGAAATAGTTTAAGCTTCTTATTTATAACACTGTAAGAGTCTTTTATAATAATTGCCCTTCCTTTATATAAGCCAGTTATTTGCATTGTTCGTGAACCTTTAATGATGGGAGTTCCTTTCACTTCTGTCATGTGTCTTAAGATGAAGTTTATATCATAGCTGAGGTTATGGAAATATATTAAACTCTTGTCAGGAAGTCGTTCCAAAAATTCTGTTGCACAGTTCTGACCCCAAATGCTTTCACTCACTGAACCATCTTCACTGTCATAACATATGTTAAAAGCTTTATGAAAGCCGTCTGTGCTACACTCAAAGTCAGCAAAGAAAACGTGCTCAGGAATGAACTTACACTTATTTTTATTTACTTCTTTTGACTCTGCTTTCTTCTTCAGTTGTACACAATACTTTGGAGCATATGTCAAATCTTTAAATGGTGCAAGGTTCTGTTTATATAAGTCAGTCGTATATGTGAAAAGTTCTCCATAAGAAATAGGTTCGAAATATTTGCACTCCCACAATGTTTTCATAACATCCCATAACGGTGTTGTTCTATCCATGCGAACAATGTATTTACCATCTCTCATTGTATATATTTTCATCTGTTTCTCAATGTTCATTCCACCACAAGCTTTGAGAATTTCTTTATAGTTTCGAATGAAATATGTTGTCATTGGTAATCTTTCGTTTAGCATGTAGTGGTCTTCAACAAGAAGTAAGTCAATAGTTCGAACAGTTTCACATTCTTTTGGTATGTATCTCTTTATTTCATTATGTCTTGAGTCATTGAAGTAACCAATGGTAACATTAAATGCTATACCTGTTGCGTCAGAAATTTCTTGTACTTTACTTTGAGGAAAGTCTCTAACACGAATGACTTCTCTCATGTGGTCAATAGTTTCTTCATTTACTCCAGCCTGAATGCAAGCATAAACGAAGCAGTTATCTTCTGTCATAAGTGTTGCAGTTCTTTTGTTCAGTTCATTGAAGATTTGGTAGCGTTCAAGATTTATAGGTAATGTGCAAAGATACTTCCAGAACTGACCGCTTCTCTTCTTATAAAACTTCTTTTCACCAAGGATTTCATTCCAGAAGTCATCTATATCTTGTTTATCTCCTGTTTGTTTAAGTCTGTTCAATAATCTTTTCTGTCTTTCTGTCAGTGTGCTTTCATCTCTATATGGTCTCTTTTTTGGTTTGCCTTTCTTTACATCTGACATCGTTAAGCCTTCATATTCTGTTAAATCATACATCTTTATTTCAGTAAGATTCTTTATGTTTGTCAAGAAGAAGTCATAGTGCATTTCAACAATACCTGCAGCATTTGCTTCTATCTCTGATATAAAGTTCTCCTTCAAGAGCTGATGTAGTAATGTTCCAATATTATTGAGGTTTAACGTAGAACATTCATACTTTCCACCAAGTTTATAACATACCATCCATCTTTGTTGGGAGTTTATTTTAATTTTCTCTAAGAGTCTCATGAAAACCTTACCGAAATGTTTGTGTAAGTAGTCTCTGTTTGGTTCATCTAAAGCTTCGATGTTAAAGTCAATGAGTCTATTGCCTGACTTCACATTTCTCTTCCTATTCTCTTCATCTTTCTTTAACCATCTCTCACCTTCTTTTGGTTTGTCGTCAATGGAACGAATGACATCGTTAGCTTTGCGAACTTGTTCTATAGCATTTTTAAACATCTCTCTTCTCTGTTGTTTCAGTGTGTCGTCTCTTCTTCTTGTTTCACCAACGTTTGCATTTGTTATGTCAAACATTTCTCTTCTTACTTCATGAGGTACTGAACGTCTATGATATAAGTCAATAGCAACGTCATTTAAAGGAAATGCTCTTGCATGGACTTCGTCCTCGCCGCGTTGCGGCTTTATGAACTCATGAATTCTATCATAACTTATTGCACCATTATAGTCATTGAGGATGTCAGCGAGTGCTTTTTTGTTTGTTGCGTAATGTTTTGCAACATCTATGTTAGCTTCTGTTAGAAGTTGTTTTATTTCCGAGTGTTCTAACTTAGACAACTTCCGATACATCTTTAGTAGGAAATAAAAAAATATTTTTTTGAAAAAAATTAGATTAGATTTTTTAAAGTTATTTTTCAAAATAATTTAATATTTTTATTTTAATGAAACACATGCAAGATTGCAAGTTCTTTTCATACAATGCTCTCGCTACTGCCATCAAGAATGAGTTCAATGGTGCTTCAAATGTTAATGTTATCTTTAACAAGAAGTTTGTGAAAGAATCTAAGTTTGGTCAGTATGTCAGACCATTAGCTATTGTCATTGACCGCAAACGTTATACTTCACAAGAGTTAGCAGTAGTTTTGAAACAAAAGAGTTTCTTCGTGAATGTCAAAGATACTCATTATACTGTCATAAAGAACTCTAACATTGACTTCTTCAGTATTGCTTTAAATCTTTCCGAACAGAAAGAATATAAGAAGGGTGAAACATCTGTGAAATATTATCCTTCATCTCTGAAGACAATAACGAACAAAGATGTTATACAGAAATTCTTACCAAAGGTTGAAGAAGCTTCTATTGACATTGACGAAGGAAGTGAAATGGTTGAAGAAATAGACCCTGAAGTTATTTAAGCAAAAATATATTTTTGGTTAGTCTTCATATCGATATTTTACAACGATTCCCCAATGTATAAACTTTTCATACGCTTTTTCATAAGCTTTATATACCTTCAGAAATTTTGCATAATCTTTAGAAGCATTTAGATATTGTTTAAATGCTTTGTATGTCTTCAGAAATTTTGCATAATCTTTTACATGTTGTTCGTTCTCTTCTTCTGTCATGAGTTCCGAATATTCTAAATTCATGTTCTTTCATATGAGATAAAATTTTATAAAAAAATAAAATTAGCTTAGATTTTTTTATTCTTCCTCTTTGAAGTTATCGAAATATTCTGTTATTTTTTCCTTCAGTAATGGTAAGTCTTCTTTGAAGGTAAGAATTGTACAACCTTTAATATCATAGTGTGTTTGAGGAAGAGTACTTTTGACAATTTCCTTTATTTGCTCATTCGGTGTCATTGAAATCGGTAAGTTTTCACGATAGAACCAGTTTCTGTCAGATTTATATATTTTAGCGAGGTCATAAAAGCTCTTGTTGTTTCTTCTCACTAAATGCAACATAACCATATCTCTATCTTCTTCTTTCTCCATCTCTTCAGCGTAAATCATATACTTATAGCTTTTTTCCTTTCCTTTTGGTACTGAACGCGGTATTCTTTTCTGTATGCTTTTGTCTTTGGATTCAATGACTTCATCTTTTGCTTGAAGTTTCTTTTCCATCTCTCCACGTTCTGCTTTATATAGTTCATCTAACATCATGAAAATATAACAAGCATAACGAGGTGAAGCCCACATTGCTACAGCATTTACTAAAAGTCTATGAACATAATAACCTTTCAAACCAGGAGCCAAATTCTTGCGATTTTCGTACGGAATCTCTTCCCTCGGTTTTCCGAGGGAAGCAATCATATGAGGAAATTCTTCTAAAAGTTCTTTTGTCTGTTGGTTTTCAAACCAATGATATGCTTGCTTTGTAGAACGAAGAGCATTCATTATACTTTGCATTTGGTACATATCGTCTTTGACCGAACGAATGAGGCGAAGTTGTTTGTTATATTGTATGTATTCGTATTCTTCATTTATAGCTTCATGGACTATAACTGTTGTTGTTTTCTCTGATGTTGTCATTACTGTCTTTACATACAAAATAAAAAATAAATAAAAATAAAACTAACTTTATTTTTTCTGAGATAAACACTATTTCTTCACAACATTAAATTTTATCCTGTATGAAATGACTTTAAAAAGATTATTGACTGACTTCGAATACTATCTCATTGACGCACTGACAGACCCTCAAAACTGTGTTGAAAGTTCTTTAAGCTTTAAGATTGAAGGTACGACGCATTTTGTCTTCACTTACGTATTGAAAGAATATGACCGTTATCATAACGAAGTGAATCAAACACTAATAAAATTTGTAGATAAAAAATTGGTTAACAATGAATATTTTAAACGTGAAGACCCAAACACTGCTGGAGATGATGAAGAATACAGACAAGTTATTGAAAAAAATAACGCAAGATTAGATGCAATAGAAAAGAAGTTTAATGAATGTCTTACAAACACGTATGAATATCTTATGCGGTGGGAAGCTAGATGGAAATAAATTTACGTCAAATATGCAATTTATAAAATCTTATGTCGACAGGCTACGTAGCACAGTGGTCTAAGGTGGTGTTATGGAGGGGTCAGAGTCTGTGGTTCGAACCGCGACAGCGCCGTATTTTCTTATTTTCTTTGTTCCCGTGGAAGAAGGGTTTTGCTGTTTTTTCTGTTTTTTCTCAGCCGAAATCAATGATTTTTTCATTTTTGGAATCCTTAGCGAATGAGGAATCTTTTCTCTCGTGGAAGCTTTGACCAAATTTCATGAATTTTCACAAAAGACAAAAAATAAACGCTTTACATGTATTTTTCAGCAACTTCGAAGAAAACTATTTTCAAATAATTTTATAGCTTTACCTATCTCATCTACTTCAAACGTTTCTTTACCTTTTATGGGAGCACCATACATTTTCTCAAACTTTTCAAGTAGTTCTGTTTCTGCAGCTCTCATATCGTTAACGAACACAACCTTAACTCTATTGACTGTACTGTCATATCTTTGAGTTATATTATATGTTCTTCCTATCTTATATCTTTTTGTATTGAAGTCCTTCGGTTTCTGAACGATGTAAAGTAAGCCTTCACTGCAACGTTCCATATCGAATGAACCATAAGTTATGAAGTTATATCCAACAACTGGGTCTAACCATAACAAAACTATTGGTATAAGACTTTTGTCTATAAGATATGCTCTTGTTCCATGAAATGCTACTGATATCATAAGCTCAGGATTTCTTGTCAAAATTTTCTGAGTTGAAGCATTTCTAACCCAGTCGTTTGTTTTCTTTCCAGATGTTGTATTTCTTTGAGTATCTTACGTTTAAATCACCTATTCTAACCACTTTGGTGTCATTGTCTATCTTTCTAACTGTTTCAAACTCAATGTTTGACATTACTGTCTTTACATACAAGATAAAAATTTTTCTTAGAAAAAAATAATGTTTATGTTAGCATGTTAGATCTAACACGTTTTCTAACCACTTTTCTAACATCGAAGAAAACTATTTACACGCGTTTTACATGGTATATGTTGCGATGGTTCATGACTTTAAACAGTTTTGTAGCTTCTATTTCTTCACGAAGGATATCAAAAAATTTAACTATGCCGAAGGTTTCTTTATATTTCTTCTTGACATCAGATAATAGGAAATCGTCAGCAGTTGGATAGTTTTTGTTCAGAAATGCTAACATGTCCATTTTATCTTCTGCTGGTTTCTCTACTTCTTTCTTTAAGTCAGCATAGTCGTTTCTCATACGTTCTATCTCTTTGACGGAGTAGTTATATTTCCTCATTGCTGCTTTACATTTTGAACATTGCGGATTCATTTTTGCGTTATACATTGAAATTTGACCTGCTATAACAACTAAGGCGTCAATGGTTTTCTTTAACTCAAAAGTTGTTGGTTTTATTTGTCCATTCCATATTTTACATCTTTTATCTTTATCTCTTATCTGCCATACACATTCAGCAACTAATGAAACAAAGTTGTCGTATGTCTTAAACTCTCCAGATTTATATATGTCAGAGATGTTCTTATATACCATGTCGCAATCTTTGTCCATAACTTTATGGTTGCAATGATATCCTAGAAACTCATAGTTTACTTTACGTATGAACTTCTTTATTTCTACTGAGTCAGTTGGTTTCACTTCTATTTCATCGAATTCATGAATAGTGAGCTTTTGTTGTTGGATTTCAGGCAATTTGGGTAAATGGTCAATAATATCCTGCATGTCATAAAGATACTGTTCATTTGTTTCATCTTTCGCACTACAGTCTAAATTACTTGTTAAAAGTTCTTGCTTAATTCTTTGTATTTCTGTCTCAAAAGTATATGAAGAAGGAATGAAGCTTTTCATCTCTACTAACATAGATGTTGGATTCATAACTAAAGAGTTTGGTGAAGTTGTTGTTTGAAGTGTTGTAGAACCTATTGTTGAAATCATATCTTTACATACAAGATAAAAATTTTTCTTAGAAAAAAATTAGCGTTATTTTTCTTTCATAAGGAAATGTCAAAAATTCATGATTTTCGAGAGTTTTAGACCATGTTAGAAAAGTGGTTAGAAAACGTGTTAGATCTAACATTCTAACATAAATAAAGTTTATGTTAAAATAAATGGTACCATTAATGATATCATGACTGTTCTCGTTCATGTCTGATTTACATCTAATGAAAAAGTTTAGAAGAATTTTCTTATTCTTTCTGGCATATTTTTGTCTTTCCAGTACTCCCGCTCTAATGGTCCCAGATGAGTTGGCTTCGACTCTCTCAAGTTCTTAGATGGTATAACATCTTCAACGCCTCCTTCATATCTTACTTTATAAGTGTCATCGTTTATGTTGTAGTCAAGTATTTCAATAACCACTCCTCGCTTTGCTTCGTCAATGGTTTCAGCAAGTTTGCCATTACTACTTTCGACTAATTTATGACGAGGGTAAAATGCTATGGAGTCGTCAGCAGCTTTTATAAGATATCCATTACCTTGCGTAGAGTCTACGATATAATAATTTCGACTTAACCTTAAACGTTTCTTTGTCAATGGTTTGTCGTCAAGAACTACACGAACTTTTGTACCAGGAATGAGGGTAAATTGTTTTGAATTTCTGATATTTTGTGTTTGACTTAGTTTCTTTTGTATATACTTTTCTTCTTGTTGTTGTGTCATTGAATTTGGTGTATGTCCTGTTGTAGAATGTGTTGAGGAATTATATACTTCGAGAAAATGTTTCATTGTTTCTTCGGTAAAGTCTCGCTCTTGATTTAAATCTCTGAGAGTCCTTATGAAGCGGTTTATGATGCCGAGTATGTTATGGTTATGGTCTTCAGTAGTGTAGTGAGTTATGTTATGCTTAATGAGAAAATCTGTGATTTCATTGCTGAGGTATGCACTGTCTTGGTCTGATGTTAAAGTACTTGGGCTATGTTCTGCTACAAACTTTTGTAAAACTCTTAACACTTCACGAGTTCCTTTATTCCTCATTGGATATGTATATGCTTTACGAGTGTTAACATTTATGAAGATGAGGAATGGTTTATGTCCTCCTTTTCTGCTTTGAATGAGAGTGTCAAATTGGTATGCGTCAGGAGTGTTGGAGTAAATTGGTAAAAAGTAGTCGTAAGGATTTATTTTTGTTTGATGTACAACATTTTTGTCAAAGAACCTTTTCACTTCAGCTCTGTTAGTAAATCCCGAACTCTTTGCAGCTTCATTGAATTTCTTAAAAGACCTCCATGGATGTTGTTCGAATACTTCTTTCAAGCTCATTTATGTAAAGTTAAAGATTTTATTCTAGGCTCAAGCGCGTTCATTGAACTCTATACCATGCGAATACAGTCACAAATGGTGGCATATAATCTGCACCCGAGCCTGTTGGATTTGTTGTGAAAGTATGTGAATGATTTCCTCCTGGTTCAGTTGGTCGAAAAGTCTTTTTTGCTGCATTGTTATAAGATGGAGATAAAACGTCATTGCCAGCTTCATACTCTGAGTTGTATAATGGGTGGTCTCTTAATGAGTGGCTATGGTCGCCAGAAAAGTTTGTAGTTCCTGTATGAGTGTGCGGTGGAAGGTTTGCTTCAGTAATTTTCTTCGAACCTCCTGTTTGCTTTGAATATCTAGCACAGTATAAGAATTTATCTACAATCTGTTCCCACGTACCGAAACCCAGAACTGTTGCTGGATTTGTTGAGTTCATTGACGTATAAATAGAACCTATAGGATATAATGTTTGAAGTATTTCTGTCTTTAATGTTTGAAGCTCTGTTTTGTCAGCTTTCTTATCATATAAATCTTGAGCAGTGAATTTAACATTATTTTCATCCTCCATGACATAAACATTTCTACATCTAATGTATTTCATCGTCGTTATGTTTTCCTCCGATGTTAAACCTTGTGGAAAGTTAGGAGGTTTCCAATATAATGCATCCCCACCAGTTCCTTCAACCGTTCCTTCAATACTTTCTATACCAACAGTTGTGAAGAAATCATGTGTATGGTTCTTATCTGCTTTCTTATCTAACATTGCTGGTAGTTCATGTGTTTCAAAGTTTCTGACATGACCTTCAATGTTCATACATTTACTATTTAAGGAGTTTAGTGTATCTTTTACGCTTGTACTTGGATTCTCTAAAGGTGCACTTGAACCAAGGGTATAGTTCAATATTATGTCGTCTGCTCTAACAGTAGTGAAGGATTTATGTGTATGGTTCTTGTCGGCTTTACTGTCTAAAGAAGTTTGAAGTTCATTTATATCGGAGATGTTGTGTTTATGAGATTTCAAAACTTTGTTCATTGCTTCGAGTTCAACTTTGTCAGCTTTACTTTTAATAGCATCTTCAAACGTTATTTTTGACTTAACTCTCAAAGTAAATCTTGGTTCAACTAATACACCGTTAACATTGAAAGTAGAGGCATAAATTTCACCGGTATAACCAAATGCTTCTGGTGCTTTAGCTACATCATACTGTACAGTACAGCTTATGTCATAACCTTTAGCACGAATGTATTTATATCTTCTTTCATTAACATTTTTTGTCTTCGCTTCATCACTTCGTGTTAAATATCCATGGTAGTCCGTTATAATCTGTTCGTCTGAAGTTATATAATGAACGTGGTTTTTATCTGCTTTTTCGGCTAATTTCTCATTAACATCATTCACTTCTAATTCAACTCTTCCGCCAGAACTCTTATTATCATTAATCTTTTTCATTAATTCGGTAATTACGTCATAAAGACTATATTCTGTTTTCGGTTTTGTAAATAATGAGTCAAAATTTCTTTTCATCATTACATCGCTGACATTAATGATATCACCAATTCCTTTTTCATTTATTCTCTTCATTAATTCTGCAATAATGACGAATATATAATCTGTTAATTTATTCTCTTCATCGAGGGTTATAGAATGTTTTGAAATTGAATCATTAACTCCTCTAAATAAATCAATAACTTCAGGATACACGTTTTTAATGTCTCGAATAACCCGACCAGTATCCTGTTGTTCATGTTCTTCGTTCCCGTCGTTACGTGGTTTTATATCTCTAACCATCATCAACGCAGCCATAACCGGAGGGTTTGTTGCTATCTGTTCGAAAATCCGTCCGTTATGTACGGTATATCTAAATAATTTCTTTGTGTTTGTTAAAACATTTGAAACAAGTCTTTTAAAACCATCTACAAAATTTCCTGTTTCACCTAATGTTCTTGCAGCATTTACAAGCTCACCCATTCCCGCTTTTGACCCCAAAAACGTCCATATTGCATTTATTTCACTCTGTATAGTTGTCCATTCAGCGAAACTAACACCCGCATTCGCTAAGCTGAAAATGAAATTCAGTGGATCGAACTTAATTCCACCTTCTTTTTCAATTTCAACGAACTCACTAACATGAGATTTTAAATATTCTTTCGTTAAAATTGTTTTCCCCGATGTTATGTCATTAACGAAACTATCACCGTCAAAAGTTAACGAATTCAATTTCGTCGTTGATGCTTTTATTTCATACACCGCTTTATCGATAGTTTTTGGCTCACCTTCTTTAGAAGCATATGAAACATTAATGAATGAATTATATGTATTCGTGAATGAGTTAAAATCAATGATTTTCATTAATGACGCCTTTAATGATTCATTAACTGTTGAATCCCTTAAAGTAATTAATGAACTGTCATTTATGAAAGGTACACTGCAAACCGTCGAGTTTGGATCAAATGCTGTAGTTGGTGCAGGAATATTAATGATATAAGTCATTAAATCATTAAGTGACGTAAATAATGTTGTCGTTTTTGATTTAATTTCTTTAGCATCTGTTATATATGGTAATTTTATTTCTGTAGTTTCTGAATTAAAGATATTCGCTAAAATGTTTTGTAAACTGTTTTGAACAGCAGTATAAACCGTTGAATCCGGAACTCTTACGATTTCACCGTCCTTAATAAAAGGCATTGCACATGGTGTAGTGCTTGGGTCAAATCTTTCGGGATTATAATTCAACATATATTCTAATGCTTCATATACAGACTTATATACTGTTGTGTCGTTCTTCATGACAACTTCACCATTTACAATGAATGGCATTGTACATGGAGTTAAAATAGGGTCAAACTTTTCATAGTCCTTCCATGTTATGTATTTCTCGGTATTTCCATCACTGATAACAATATATTTGTCAGTAAGTGTGAGAGAGTATTGACCAAAATATAAACGTTTAGCTCTGTCAGCTTCATACGCATATGCAGCTATACTCATATTTTAATGAGAATAAAATGTTGTTCTATTTGCAAAGTACAGACCCAAACGAATACGGGACAGTAAAGCTACAAACAAACTTAGGTCTACAGAATGAGCCACTTGCATTCAGAATGGTTGACTTCAATACTATCGCTTCATTCGTTATAACAGATGAAACAGATTTCATGGAGCTTGAAATAGATGGAAAGAAGCACGAAATAAGATTTCACAATAATGTAGAATATAAGATGGAAACATTAGCTGGAGTGTTAAATGCTCTCATAAATACTACAATAAACAAGGATAACGAAGAAAACTTAATGAATGTTAAACTTATTGCAGGAGTTTTGAAGTTCAGTTATGCGAAGGAGTTTAAGATACCAAGAATGAGTCATAGAGTACAACTTCTTTTGGGAGCATACCATATGACATTTCCTTTGAAAAGTGTTGACAAAACGATTGAGATGAAATCTGTTCCATACGTATGTTATGGTAATTGTTTGTACATTGAGTCAAAAATAGCTAATGTCACAGGTATTTCAGGAGTTAATAGTAAAGGTTCAGTAGAATATAAATCCTTCTGTTATGCAGTCAATTCAATGTTCATTCCAAACGTTCCTGTCATAGCAACTCATTTAGGTAAATGGGTTCGCATTAGTCCTCATAATTTGAAAGACATGCAATTCAGACTTGTTGACTTTCAAGGAGAGCCTGTAGAACTGAAGGCACCAGTGCGAATGACTGTTGAAGTTGACTTTTTAGAAAAATATTAAATGCAACAGCTTACAAGAGAACTCAGAGCTAAAAATATAAAGTATGAATGTTATGTATTAGGTCATGAACTTTGGTTGTTGCTGTTTGATGAAACAAATGAGTTAGTTATGTCAGTCAAGAGAACAGAAAAATATTGTGTTAGTGAAAACTGCACCAAGTCAATAAGATTAGGTTTGCATTATGAAGATGAGTTCGATACTGTTGAAGAAGTTTTGGATAGATACTATAAGTTGCTTTAATTTACTAAAACATATTTCAAACAAAGTTTATATTCTGTTGAAAGTTTTGTATACTCGTTCGAATATCTATACTTAAACTCAACTCCTGTAGTTCCTGGTGTTTCAATGATGCGGATGTTACCTATTTTCATGAATATTGGCGTTTGACCACAGCATTCGATTTCAGGGTCGAGATAGTCAATGACGCATTGTTTCCCTGTTATTCGTGATATAACATTTTCAAGGTCCTCCTTTGTTAGAATTATTTGGTTCTTGCTTATAAGATTTACCAAAAGCTTCTTATCGTCTTTGAGTAAAATTGTTTGGTATAACTGAAGAAGGTAATGGTCTACGTTATCTGAAGGATTTGTTTGAACATTTGTGTAAGGGTTGTCGTTGGCTTCTCTTGAAAGAATTTGGTCCAGTGGTGGATACTCTAACTTAACATCTGATGTAGCGTTAGCGTTTGAAGCTGTGTTTAAATTCACGGATTTCAGCTCTGGTTCTTTTTCTTTCAAACACTCTGAACTATAGTTCTTTATGACAATATTGTTTGTCGTTCGTGAGTCAACATTTGATGTTGGTTCAATTGGAACATTAACGGCACCAGCTAAGATGGATTTGCTTCTCATTTCATATAGAATAAAAACCTTTTATATGTATGAAATGAACAATATACTCGACAAGGGTTTGAATGTAAAGCTAACGAATGAAAATATTGTTGAATTCACTGAGACAGGAGCTGTGTATAAAGATGTAGAATTACTGAACAAAAGAGCAAAGGGAAGAAGCAGGAATATGAACAAAGGGTGGAAGCCTATAAAAATTTATGTCAATGATGGCTCAGGAGGTTCAAACATAAAGTATGCAGAAAGTTATAGCGTTTATGCTCTCAAAGGTGAAAAGCCTTCATTTAAGAACAGCTATTCTAACGCATATCCTCAAAAGCTAACGGATGGGGAAGTGGATGATATGAATGACAGCAAAAATATTAACAGAAATGGCGACAGAGATGCATGGAATTTGTTTACCATCAGTCAATTGAAGGTTAAACTTTAAAACAATGTTGGTCGTTCCCATGGAATATTTTTGACTTTAATGGTATTAGTCATGATATGAATCTCAAGGTATGAACGAGGAGAGATGAGAGACTTATATGCTTCCCAAATTTCTTCAAAAGGTAATGTTATACCTGACTGTTTCCAAATGAGTTCAATATCATAACGTGAGAAACCTTGAAAGATAACGAAGTCAGTTATGAGACGTTTTATGTTTAAAGCAAGGAAACGCCATGTTTGCATAAGTATTGCTACAGTTAAATGGTAATGTCTGACTTTAGTTATGATGTTAGCTAATGGTGAGTCAGGCTTTGACACTAAACCTTTTCCGGCGAAGTCGTCACAAACGAGCAGAGTATTTGAAGGATACTTTTTGAAGGGGTATTTTGAAAGTTTTGACAGAATGTAGTTTGTCAGTCGTTTCATATCGTAAACTCCTGAGTACTGACGTAAGTGGTGTTTGTCAATAATTCTTTCCATCTCTTCTGAAGTCTTTTGCATTCCTGACTGTATAAATTCAACGATGGCATAATATTTCCTCTTACGTCGAATGTAACGTTGAAGAAATTCAATGAGTTCACTGTCTGGAACTTTAACGACAGAGGCTTGAACTTTTGACATAAATGTTTTCGCTGTTGAATCCATAGAGTCTGAAGTTGCTGATATAATGATTTGGTCATAGTAGAGTCGTTTCCTAAACGCTCTGTTATGAGTATATGACGAATGAGGTTAAATGTCTTACCTGAACCCATCTTTCCACAATAGAAATAAACACCATTTGAACAGAACTCATAGTCCTTACTGAAAGGAAGAATGAGAGAAGAGTTAAGTTTGTCTGTAGTTTCATTCATGTCTTCATCTACATCATGTATTAAATGCTTCATTTTATCTCCATTAAAAATGCAAGTCAGAAATATTCAGAACATAGCACCGAGTCTAACTGACAAGAGTATAAAGATATACTATGAACATGTTATGATGAAACCAACCAAAATTCAAGAAAGTCAGTATACTTATGAATATCCAAGACACTGGGTAGAGTATGTAGGAGGTGAGAAAGCTATTGAAATCAGACAGGTTCGAAGTATTCCAGCAGGAAGAACAATATTATTGAAGAACTTTAATGTTTTGAGATATAATGATGAAACAAAGAAGCAAGATAGTTTCCCTGTTGCTGTGTATGTGAACCTAGACACAGGAGATGACATGAAAGTTTTTAATACAAAGCTTCAAACGGTAGTGAGAGAACAACTGACTGCGGAAGGACATCCATTACCTTCAGAAGTTACCATAGCATATAATTTTGAAACAAACTCAATAGATTTTAAAGTCGTCTCTGCAAAGAAGTCAGGATTTACATTTAATGAAGCAGATGTATATTCGAATGAAAACTTCAAAGCTATTGCATGGTTAGATAATGACGATTGCTTTAAGAAAATATTTAAATTCAGTGACTCAAAGATGTCAATAGATGACCTTCGTGGAATGTTACCATCGACGTTTACAGTTGAAGGCTCAGCAGGATTGCTTACAAGATTGTCAATTGGTGGCGTTTGGTCTCGTGAGAACATTGTTATAAAATCCAGTATAAGTGAATTTGCTGAAGAATCTATATTATGTCTTTCAAACTACATGTATTCGCCACCGAAGCATTATAGTATAACAAACTTTGTCAGTAAGTTTAACATAAGACTTGTCGAACCTTCTTCAATGAAAGATGTTGTGCTACCTAAAGATGGAAAGGATGGACTCATTATTGAGATGATTTTAATTGCATATTAAATGAGCTTGTTCATGAAAGTCATTCATGATGAAATAACTGTTGTAGAAGATGTTAGCAATTGTTCAGACATTTTGAAGCGAATAGATGAGATAAGAAAGAAGTTAGATAGACCGCAAAGCGGTGAGGGCGAAGCCCGTGAGAACTCTTATGTTTCATTGACTTTCTCCAGTAACGAGAACTTTTATGAGATAATATTGAAGAGAGATGATTTTAATATGGTGTAAATGGTAGCTTGGGCAGCTTTAGGCGCAATGGGAACAAAAGCATTAGCATTTGGAGCAAAAGCACTTGGAGCTTATGATGCAGTAAATAAAATGAGTGGAGGAAGAGTTTCAAAGACATTAGATGCAAATAAAGGGAAGATTGGAGGCTGGGTTGCAAAGAAGTTAAGATTAAATAAAATAGGGCTCATAAATAAAGCATCCAATTTGGTTGCGACTGAGTCAGAAAATGCTTTAGGAAAGGATGATGAGTTTGCAAAACACGCAAAAGACTTTAATGACCAGATGAAAGGTGAAACAATGCATTTAAATAGAGTCGATGGAACTAAAGAAAATGTTTCTTCTCCACCAGTAGTTCTTCCGTATGGTCCCTATGGAATGTATGGAAACCCTTACGAAAGACCATTTGACCCATTGACTGGTGGAAGTAACTGGTATCATTACGGACGAAGAAGAAAGACAGTCAAGTTGGAGACAGACGTGAAGAAAGCAACTAAAAAGAAACCAAGGAAGAGAGTTATAAAGCAATGAATTCAACAGGGTGAAAAAACAGGTGAAAAAAGAGGTGAGATCTCACCACTTCACCTAAATTTAAATGGATGTTTTCATACGTGTGAGGGTGGTGATATCATTTATTTTTATTTTATTTTTTAGTTTACTGAAAATTTTTATTTGGATGTAAATGACAGAACAAAAGCAACTCATTCGAATTCCACAGTATAACAAACATACATTTAAACATTTATTCTTCCTTCCTGAGCATAACATGTTCTTTCAAATACATCCGAGACCAGTTGACTTTTCATTGACTGTGTATAAAGATAGAAATAGTTATATCATTAAACCATACGATGACGAAGGTAAGTTATGTAAATTGTACGTTAAGAAGTTAGAGAAAGTTTATGGCTTCAAGTATGACTACAATAGGGTTAACACTGATGATGAAGATATTGAGGAAAATTTATGAGAACATTAGTGAAGTCGTTAGTGAGAACGATAGTGAGAACGTTTATTTTTACATTAGTGAGTTCGTTAGTGAAGTGAAGTGGTTGGCGGCTTTGTAAATATTTAAGGTTAAGTTAGTTTTTGCGTTCATGTTGTAAACTATACGTTAACGGTTTTGTAAAGTGTCAAATTCACAAGTATTGAGTAAAGTGGAACGCAGTGCCACCATACCCAAGACTTGTATACTAACTAGGAATTACTACATACATAGTCGAACTGAACTTGATATTTTGAAATTTAAATTATTTATCAAAATTAAAATTTAACTTGAAATTTATAATTATTTAGTCATATTTTGCATAATTCAAAAAAAAAAAAAAGGTAGTGGGGCTTCCAGGCACTTCGTGCCTTCTAGCCCATAAGAAATTTTTCCCAAGACCCAAGAGGAGGACCGAACCCCAGCCGACCAGCCGTTGACTTTTTTGTCAAGACTTCTTCGTAAATGTTTTGTCAAACATGAACGTAAATGTTTTGTCAAACATGAACGTAAATGTTTTGTCAAGACTTCTTCATCGTAATGAGCGTAAATGACCCAAAAATATAATTTAGGTGAAGAGGTGAGATCTCACCTCTTTTCTCACCTGTTTTCTCACCTCATGAATTTTCATGAATTTTCATGATTTCATCGTAAATGTTTTGTCAAGACTTCTTCGTAAATGTTTTGTCGAAACTTCATCGTAAATGTTTTGTCAAGACTTCTTCGTAAATGTTTTGTCATGATTTCTTCGTAATGAGCGTAAATGACCCAAAAATATAATTTAGGTGAAGAGGTGAGATGTCACCTCTTTTCTCACCTGTTTTCTCACCTCATGAATTTTCATGATTTCTTCGTAAATGTTTTGTCGAAACTTCTTCATCGTAAATGTTTTTAACTTCACTTAAAATGCCACGTAAGCTACGTAAGAATATACGTAAGAGGAAGGGAGCATTGAAACATCCAATAGTAAAACTAACACCACAACAACAGTTGCAACAACAAATGCTGAATGACCCCACTATGTTGCAACAAATGTCAAGCAATCCTATGCTTTTAAACCGAGTTATTGGTGCACAGAGTGGAGGTTTAAGAGCGGCACTTTTAGCGAAAATGGCAGGCTATGGTGGAGCTGCAGACGGAACAGCCTATAACCCTCAAAGTCAAATGAATTTGAGTTCACTCAAAAATCAAATAACAGATGTCAAAAAGTCAAACATAGACATACAGAAGCAAATAAGTGAAAACGAAAAGAAACTAGAATATGACAGACACACAAAGAAACTCAATGAGTTAAACGTAGAGAAAAAGAAGAAAGAAGAACAACTGAAAGAACTAAGTACAGAGGAATATGCGAAAAAAGTGTCAGAAAAAGCAGCAGAAGTAGCAAAAATGGAACAAGATGTCATAAATTTGAAAAACCATACTACTCAATATAAAGTACTGAAAGATGAAGAAATAAAACAAAAAGCCCTGAAGACATATATGGATAGCAATGAGTATAAAAAAGAAGTTGAAGCAAATGTAAAGGCAGAAAAACTTTTACAGTTGCAAAACCAAACCGTACAGTATGAAAACTTAGCACAAGAAAGTAAAAATAACGACGCAGCCATGCAAAAGGCAATGAAAAGCGCAGAATATATAAAAGCTAATAATGACTGGTTAGATGCCCAAGCCAACGCTAAAGCAGCCCAACTTATAGGGTCAATAAGGACAAAAATACAAGCGGATGAAGACAGTTCAAATGAAGCTTTAATGAATGCTGACTTTAAGAACGCCTTCGAAGCTCTTCATAGTAAGGTGAAACTAGTGAACGACTTCTCATCTGGAAAGAAACTGAAGTCTGAAGGTTTCGACAAAGAGTTAAGAGAAGTAGCACAAAATATGACGAAAATAACAGATGCAGCAACGAGACAGGCAGTTCAAAGTGCCTATGACTCCGTTAGAGCAACTGTTGTGGAAAGTCAAGAAAAAGAGTTACAACAGACCAAAACAGACCTAGTAAATGCTTTCTTAAGAACGAAAAGTCAGGTAGGACATTATGCTGCAGATGGAACATATGTGCCAGCTGGTGGAACTTATATACCAGCTGGTGGAACTTATATACTAGCTAGTGGAACTTATATACCACCAAACCCTCCAAGAGAAGCACTTGCACCAGGACTACCTAAAACATTTACATCGTCACATGGACACAGACACAGGCATGCACCAAAACCAGCACAACAACAACAACCAGCACAACAACAACCAACACAACAACCAACAGTTCAAAATCCAGCACAACAACAACCAGCACAGCAACCAACAGTTCAAAACCCTGCACAACAACAACCTCCACAACCAGAGCAAGGACATAAAAGAAGTAGAGAACAAGGAAACCAAGAATTCTTAAAAATGCTGAAGGAAGAGTATGGTTACCCAGATACTCTTGACTTTAGTGACAGATATAAAGAAGCTATTAGAAAGTTCAAGGAAGGAAATACTGACCCGAACCTATTTAGCTTTATGGCTCAGCACCAAATTGGATATAATCTCAAACCTGGAAAATACAAGCTCGCTAAGGGATATGATTTAATAGCATATCATCCAAATGACATGAACGAATTTACTCCGAGATATTTGGTGTCAGAGCTAAATGACAATTCAACTCTCTTCATGAAACGCGTAAAAAATAGAGACGGAACGAAAGAAGAAAGGCTTATGAATGCGGATGACTTAAATAGGGAATTTGTTAAAAACCGTCTCGGAATATATGAAATGCCAGCAGATGAGGTACAAGAAACTCAACAGGAAGAAGTTCAGATACAACCAGACATGGAAGAAATAGTTCAGCAACAACAGCTAGAAGAGCCTGAAGGAAACGAACAAGTCCCTCCTTTGGAAACTAACTTCACAGAACTAGATGAAGATTTGGAACAGCCGAAAAATCTTGACCCTCAACAAGAGTATGCGGAGAATATGGAATCTTTCCAAGAGTCTAAAAAAAATTCGGCTGACATAGTAGAAGGATATCGAAAAATGTTCGCCGACATACAAAAGACTCCAACACCAGATGAAAATATTCAGCATAGAATGGAAGTACTGAAAGAAAATGTACACAAATACAACAACCCTTTTTACTTACGAGCATTTAACGTTCAATCTTTGGATGAACTCGGTGAAAATAAAAGGTTAAATTTCAACAAAACATATAGAAATGAAACATTGTTTAAAGTTCATTCAGAACCTAACCAAGATGGAAACAAACCTACTTTTGTTTCTGCAGACTATGGAACTACAATGAGATGGGGTCATAAAGCTAATCCAGATAGGTGGTTCATAAACTTACAACCACAATTCCAAGAAGTTGTAGACGCAATGGAAGTGAATGGTGAACCAGATATAGCAGGTATTTTCAGCGCGGCTTTAATGCCATTGAAAGATATGAAAAATGCAGATATTTTGGACCAGTATGAAATGAACATGGCTGATGGAAATATAACACCTGACGTTCTAGAACATTTATCTCAAAGAACTACACAGAACCATAGAGATGGTATATTTGGTGAAGAGTTTAGAAAGAAAGTTAGGGACAGAGAAGGAAGAGAACCTATTGTACATGACCTTGCAAACGAAAGTTTACAAAATGTCATAAAAACTTACTTTTCAGACAATGAACCGAGAAGGGATGAATATTTAAGAAAACTCAAATGGACAGTACCAAATGAAATGTTAGTATTGAAAAACATGTTCCTTGACAAAATAAAACCAACTACAGAAATAAATGACGAAAGACTGAAAGATTGGGTAAAAGCTTTCCCATTCACAAAAGATATTGTTGGTAACATGGAAAGAAAACCAGAATGGCTACAAAAACATATATTTGGAAACGAGCTTATTCCATATGGACAAGCTCTGTTTGAAGAGCTTGAACCGCAAACTCAGGAAAGAGTCATGCAAACAATACGCGAAGACTCAAATACAAACTATGACAAACTCTTTCTAGGATATAGGTTACCTGAGATGGGCGACCAGAGCCCAAAGGCAAAAAGGACATGGGAAATTTACAACATACTAGGTGAACATGAGGCAAAGATGCAACAACTTGAAGCAGAGGGCAAGTTACCAAAGCGACACCAAAGAAGAAGAGTTGTAGAAAGTAGTGAAGAAGTAACTTCATCTAGTGAAAGTAGTGGCAATGAAGGAAAAAGAAGAGTTAAAAACTCAGTCAGGAAGAAAGTAAAGCTTGTGCCAAGTGGGTTTTATTATGACACATAAATCCAACTATTCTATATTTTTACCCATATGAAATGTACGCCGCTCAGAATATTACGCCAACAGTTTTGGATGCCATGAACGGAAATGTTTCTGAATGGTATAACGAATGCGACAATGCCATTAGAAGGTCAGAAATAGTTCCTGGAACTTACGAATATACAACTGCTGTTTCTTATGGAAACGTAGGTGAGTTTGGAGAAGGTTCTTCAACAGCAGTAGATATTGCATGCGACAGGTTTCATATTATTTCTATTGACAACTCTTTCTTATACGTGGAACAAGACATTGAAATAAAACCTTCTGCCAAGTTGTCTGACAAGAAAGGTTGCAATGGAATTTTCTATGTCGGATACCAATATGCTCCAGAAGTTTTCATGGGATATAAGATATATTCTAACTCTGACTTAGTTCAAACAGTAACATGGGCAAACTATGAATGGTTCGCTTTGAGAAACTCAGTACAACCACAAGCTAGAGAACAAACAGACCAGTATGCAACTATTGAGAAAATAAGAAGACTTGACCCTAACGTTCCAGGAGTTTATGTTAACCTTTCTGGACAAACTGCAGCAGCAGTAACCAAAGTAAAACTGAAACTTAGAGTTCCTTTGTCATCTTTCCTCATCTTCAGGTTTTTAAGATACTTGCCAAACTGGGCAGGAAAAATTTCTATCGAACTTACTCCAAGCAAAAATAACTTAGTCATTGCACCAACACAAGACCCATTCAGCATTACTGTAGCTGGAACTGGTGGAGCCAAGTTCTGTGACTTTTGCAAAGATAAGGTTGACTTAGACTTTGGTTTCTCAAACCTCAACACTGAAGTAAACTATTATTTCAATGCTGCTGGAACTGCTTGGGACCCAGTTAAGTTCACATGCGAAAAATTTGAATGCAAGAGAATAGAAAGCAGACTTGCAGTCTATATGTTGGACCCAGATATTTCAAATGCTTTAGCTGCCAAATATATTGCAGTTCCACTTATGTTCCCTATACACCAAATATCTGTCAAAGACTTTGCAGGTGAAGTTGGAAACCAAAGTGCTGACCCAGGTGCAAGAACGATATTGCTTTAACAACTGCAATGAAACATGCAGATACTATGTTTGTACTGTTCAGACGAACTATAAATGACTATTCTTGTTTCTACAACCCTGGTATTAAATATCATATAAACATAGATGGCAAATATTATCCAAGAGAAGAATATTCTACAGTTAGGATATGAGGTCATATACAACTTGACATTAGATGCTATGAACTTTAACAACAACTTCACAACAACCATTAACCCTGAAATGCAAAGTTCTATTATGCCATATGTGAAAGTATGGACTCATACAGGAAGTCAAAAAACTCAATATACAAATGGAGACCGTTCAAACTTTTGGCTTGGCATTCCATTTGCTGACTCAGAAGACTTTATGGGTGGTATTTCAAACTGTTGTACAGTTCAAATACAATATACTGGTGACAGAGACGGGCCTGATGAATTGAAAGCAAAGAAGTTTACAAAACCAATAGCACTTTTCACGGAAGATGCTCTTTTGAAGATTCGTTCGATGAAACCTGCTGGGGCTCCTCAGATTGGTATAACGACAGCTTCCATCGAGCAGATTTTGGCAGCAGGTCAGTAAGTTGTTCTTGAACTGACTTCTCTCCGTCAAATATTGACAGTACGCCAGTTTTGACATAATATTGTATTATAAACTTTCCTTTAGTAATATCGGTCAGTTTTGAAGTTATATTTTTGTCAACGTCAAGAACTTTCACCATTTCAGTTATACCAACTTTCTTTGCTTTATGAAAATATTTAGGTTCAGCAAAGACTGCTATTCTATAACATTTTCCATTGTTTGTGTAAAGAACTATTCTGTCAATGTTTGTATTGTTTGTGAGTATAAACCTTGTTTTGCTTCAATTCGAAGAGATACTCAAATACGTCCATCTTTTTATTTGTAGTAAAATGTCATTTCCGAAAAATAGAAGCGTAAGTGTTTCAAAAGGTTTAATGGCGGTGGCAGATGTGAAGTTAAATTCACCAACTCAAACAAACAGTCAAAGTGTTGTTGTCAATGTCAAAGACAGAAATGTTGAAGTGGGGAAACCATACGAAGACGAAGATGGTATAACAATAGTTCCTGTAAAAGAACAACCAACATATCCTGAAGTTAGCAGAGACTTAAGTTCTGTTGCAGATATTCGAAACGACTACCAACAACTGAAAGACAAACTTCAAACTCAGGAGAAGATTTGTCAAGCTTTAAGTATAATGTTAAACTTGGTCGAACACAACCCTGTAAAAGTGAACTCATATGTCATTGCACCTCATGAAGTTTTGAAAGAACTATTGAAACTTTTGACAGAGGCAGACGATATAAACATCAAAGAAATAGAACCCGACATTGCTTGCTGTGGTGTTTCATATAATGTCATTGACAAGATATACGTTATGAAAGGAGGTGAAACGTTGAACTTAAAATATAGTTTCTCAGACGTCATAAAAATATTTGACGACCACAACATTTCATTAAAATTTATTTGCTAAGTAAAAATGTCAAAACTTCTTGAAAGATGTTTGAAGAAAAATAATATAGACTTTATTTCATGTAAAGGACTTTACACACTTTTGAACGATATGAAAGACCCTGTTTTGTTTGTTCGTGTAGACAAAGGAAAGTTCTATGTCTTTACAAAATATTTGAACTTCTTAGACAGAGAACTTCAAGAAACGCCATGTGAAAGTTTAGATGAAGTTCTTCTCCACTTTCAGAAAAACTTTTAAATATATATAAATGGCAGAAGACATAATGGTTTATACTATTACGACTAAAAACCCTGAGTCATATAATTCTATAACAACAAACTTACAAAGTCCTCAAGGACGATATTGTAAACTAACCTTAAACACAATGACGACTAAAGCCTGTTTTGCTCTTTTGACACCAGAAGATTTTATTGTTGTGAATGGTAAAAAATACTCCTTTGAAGATACTTACTCAGATATACCACCAACAGGTTTTGTTGACTTATTTAATACTTTAAGGACGGATGTAACATGTGCTGCAACTAGAGCAGGTTTCATTATGTTTGGATGTCCGACTGAGTTTACTATAAACGATATGAGCTATAATACAAAACTTATATCTGGTTTTTACTACCAACAGTTTCCTATAACAGGAAAAGGTGTCATACAAGGAATGTCTATTCCATTGACATTAAGCACACCAATCTTATATATTGTTTCAAACTTAGGTTCAAAGTGTTATTCGAATGTCGACAGAAACTATTATGACCAAAAGATACTTATGCGTATAAACAATACTTTCTCTGCTGGTTTGCCTATTGTTCATTCGAATGCAGAATTTTCAACCTTAGTGAACTCAAACACTTTGGCAAACATAAACTTAACCTTAGTTGACGCAAACTTTGTTCCTGTAAAACTTTTATGTCCTATGTATTTGTCAATGACGGCAGAAAGTTTCGAATTGGAAGATGCAACTGGTGAAAGTATTGTATTACAAGAACAACTTCAACAACAAATAGCTCAAGAACAACAAATGCAACAAATGGAACAACAAAGTCAAGAATAAAAAAAAATATTTTTTTTTATTTTTATAAAAATGTACAGAATAGATGTTTCAGATTTTTATGACTTCCAAGCATTCAGAAATATGTGTCCATTTCGAGACTATAACAAAGCAGTCGAGAATTTGAAACGTTTAGTCATTTATGTTCGACTCTGCCCCAGAATGTTATGTCATGAAAGAATGGGATGTTGTCTTTAACAAACCAAGAGCAACAATAGTGTCTGAACAAGAATGTAGACAGAAACTTAAGAAAATAAAAGTCGTACAAGTTGGCATGAAGATGTTAGATGCTTGGGATATCTTATTGTCAAAGTTAGAAGATTTTTCAGTTCGTGGTATAAAGTTTTATACACCTTCTCCAAACTTCTATTCTATCTTCACTGGATATAAATACGAACAAGTAGAATGGAAAGAAAATATTATAGAAGCTTGGTTAGACCATGTCAAAGAAATTATATGCAATGGAAACGAAAAGGTTTATGAGTATATCTTATGTTGGTTTGCAAATATCTTACAACATCCAAGTGCTAAAAATGAAACTGCTCTCATTATAATTGGAAAACAAGGAACAGGTAAGAATACTTTCTTTACAGATATCTTATGCAAACTGTTAGAAGGTTATTCGAACCCTAATATGACAAACTTAGAAAACATCTGGCAAGTTTAACTCCTCAATAGAGAATATGAAACTTATAGTTTGCAATGAACTTCAAAGTATAGATACAACAAAAGTTTTGAACTCAGATGCTTTGAAGAGTCTTATAACAGACAAAGTTGGAGTTGTTGAAAGAAAGTATAAAGACTCAAGAGTTTGTGAGAATGTTGCAAACTTCATATGGTTTCAAACAATGTTGTTCCGATGAAGTTAGAAAGTTCTGACAGAAGATATGTAGTTGTCAGAACGTCAGATTCTCATATGCAAGATACTGAATATTTTGACGACTTAGCAGAATGTTTGACATCTGACTTTTACAACCACTTGTTCTCATATTTCATGACATTAGATATTTCTAAGTTCAATCCAAGACAAATTCCACATACCGAAGAGAGACAAACATTGTTAGAAGCAAACAAGAGTGTATATGAACTGTTCATAGATGAAACTGACTTTGTGTCATTAGATGAAAGGTCATTATACGATTCGTATAAACAATATTGTCAAGAATATGGTTATATGGCAGCTTCTAAACGAACATTCTTGGCAAATGTCAAAACTCTTTTAGACGTACAGAATGGTGTATATACAAAGAAAAATTTTTCTGAGTAAATTTTAAAAAAAATATTTTTTTATTCTGAAGAAAAGATGGCAAAATTCATCTCAGTAAATAAGTACATGACAGAAGTCAAAGATAAGTTAGCTCCATTCACATATTTGAATGTTTACTTCTACCATTTTGAAAAGTCTACATTCAGCAAAGTTTGGAACATCGAACCAGTTAAGTTTGCTATTGTGACTAAAAATGGTGCGAAATTTGAAGACTTAGAGATAGAAGGTTTGTTAACAGTCAAAGAAAATTTTGACAGAAAGTTCTCAAACCTTAAAGAAGGCAAAGCATACAAACTTGTTATACCTTATGAACCAAAGAAGACAGACGACTATGAATATTATGAGTCTAAAGTTGTAGAAGTTCAAGGTAAATTGGGTAAAAAGATTTTAGAGTCTAAGCCGGTGTTTGCTCCTAAAGAGGAAGAGAACATTGACATTGACCCAGAAATGTTCTAAAAATAAAATTTTATTTTTACATGTCAAATTTCTTTTTCTCTGGAACTGGTTCAGGTTCTTTCTTCTCTTCTACTTTTTTCTCTTTCTTTCCTTTCTTCTTCTTTTCTGGTGGAGTTATGTCAAATTTCTCAGAACCATATTTCTGTAAAAGTTCTTTGTCCTTTAATAGCTCATCTATTCTGTTTTCTATTTCATCTTCAAGAACAGCGCATGTGTCTTCTTTGCATTCTAAGAACTTTTGTTGGACTTCATCTCTCCAAGAGGCGTCATCTCTGTCAACAAGTCTGTCATTGACAAACTTAAAGACTGCTCTGCCTAATGTTTTATGGTTCTTGTCATATTCCCAGAAACAGAACTTTAGAACAAATTCCCCTTTCTTGTTTACACTATGTAAGATTTTATGGTCGACGGATGTTTTGCTGTCGAAAAGCTTGTCTCGAATATAGATAGCGAAATCGCTAGACGTTTTCTAAAAGATAAAAATTTTAATTTTTCTAAAAATATGTTAGAAAAAAAGTTTGCTGACATTGACAAGAAATTTGAGAATGTTTTAAACAAGAACAAGAGGAAGTTAGAAAATGCTCAGATAAAGCCTATACATGACAAGTTCTTATTTGCTCAGAATGGTATAACAGGTCTAATTGCACCACCTGGGTCGGGTAAGACTTTCACTTATCTTAAAATGGCTGCACAACAACAAGAACTAGATGAGAAGAACCCATTCTATGAGTTAGTTGTTATTTGTAGTACTTCTGGTCAATTTGACCAAACCGTCAATTCGTTCAAAGATATTATAAAGAAGTCTAAGTTAGTATGTATAAAGGATACTGAGTTGTTAGATTGGATAAAGAAGTACCAAAGAAGAGTTTTGAAGTATAATGCTATAAATGAGTATATAAATTCTAAGTTCAAAGACCCTAATGAGGAAATGCAGAGAATATTAGAGAAGAAACACTTCAGAAACAAACAGAAAGAGATAGAATACATTTCGAAGAAATTGCAATCTTACGATTGGAAGACTTACCCTCATAGGTGTCTTCTTATCTTAGATGACTTTGCTTCTCATTCTTTGTTAAAGAATAGAGAACAAGATATGTGTCGAATTCTTAAGAAGCTCAGACACTTTAACATTTCAGTCGTAATATGTGTACAGACAGCAAAGAGTTTAAGTAAGGATGTAAAGAGAATACTTACTGACATTATACTTTTCCCAGGATTGTCAGAAGACGATTTCATGGAACTTATGAAAGAGTCCATGGCAGGTAAGTTTGACAGACATGAACTATGGGAGAAGTACAAAGTCATACAAGACCCTCATACTTCTTTCAGAATTCATATCTACGCAAACAAAGTTCAAATTGTAAAAAGTCAAGCGTAAAAATAAAGAGTTCATTTACTCTGCTTGTTTGAAGTTGTCAAAATACTCTGTTATTTTTTCTTTCAGTAGCGGTAAGTCTTCTTTGAATGTAAGTATTGTACAACCTTTCATATCATAGTGTGTTTGAGGTAACGTATCTTGAACTATTTGTTTCACATCTTCATTTGGGGTCATTGAAATCGGTAAGTTTTCGCGATAGAACCAATTTCTGTCAGATTTGTAAATCTTAGCAAGGTCGTAAAAGCTTTTGTTGTTTCTTCTGACTAAATGCAACATAACCATATCTCTGTCTTCTTCATTTTCCAACTCTTCAGTATAAATCATATACTTATAGTTCTTTTCCTTTCCTTTTGGTACCGAACGCGGTATTCTTTTCTGAATGCTTTTGTCTTTTGCTTCAATGACTTCATCTTTTGCTTGAAGTTTCTTTTCCATCTCTTCACGTTCTTGTCTATGAATTTCATCTAACATCATGAAAATATAACAAGCATAGCGAGGTGAAGCCCACATTGCAACAGCATTTACAAGAAGTCTATGTACATACCAACCTCTCAAACCATTTGGCAAATTTTGACGATTTTCGTACGGAATCTCGACCCGCGGTTTTCTACCGGTCGCAAACATATGAGGAAATTCTTCTAAAAGTTCTTTTGTCTGTTGGTTTTCAAACCAATGACGTGCTTGCTTTGTAGAACGAAGAGCATTCAAAATACTTTGCATTTGGTACATATCGTCTTTGACCGAACGAATGAGACGTAACTGTTTGTTATATTGTATGTACTCGTATTCTTCATCTATAGCTTCATGAACTATAACTGTTGTTGTGTTCTCTGTTGTTGACATATCTGTCTTTACATACAAAATAAAAAAAAATAAAAAAAATAAAACTAACTTTATTTTTTCTATCTTAAGGAAATTCATGATTTTTGTGCTGAATTCAATAAAAATATATTTTAGGTGAAGAGGTGAAGCCCACATTGCAACAGCATTTACAAGAAGTCTATGTACATACAAACCTCTCAAACCAGGAGCCAAATTTTTACGATTTTCATAGAGTTTTATGCAAGACCGGTTTTTTACCTACTCGCTGTTCTTCACGATTTTCATAGAGTTTTGGCGACCAGGTTTTTTTACCTACTCGCTGTTCTTCACTGTTTTCATGAGTTTTAGGCAAGACCGGTTTTTCTCGGTCTAGAGGAATTTCACTCAAAAGTTCTTGTGTGCTTTGGTTCCTAAACCAGTCTTTAGGAAGCTTAGTATCTGGAGCAAAACATGCTGTCAAAATACTTTGCATTTGGTACATATCGTCTTTGACTTTCACAAAAGACCAAAAATAAACGCTTTACATGTATTTTTCAGCAACTTCGTCAAATAATTTTATAGCCTTATCTATCTCATCTACTTCAAACGTTTCCCTACCTTTCGTGGGAGCACCATACATTTTCTCAAACTTTTCAAGTAGTTCTGTTTCTGCAGCTCTCATATCATTAACAAACACAACCTTGACTCTATTGACTGTACTGTCATATCTTTGAGTTATATTATATGTTCTTCCTATCTTATATCTTTTTGTATTGAAGTCCTTCGGTTTCTGAACGATGTAAAGTAAGCCTTCACTGCAACGTTCCGTATCGAATGAACCATATGTTATGAAGTTATATCCAACAACTGGGTCTAACCATAACAAAACTATTGGTATAAGACTTTTGTCTATAAGATATGCTCTTGTTCCATGAAATGCTACTGATATCATAAGCTCAGGATTTCTTGTCAAAATTTTCTGAGTAGAAGCAATTCTAACCCAGTCCTTTGCTCTCTTTCCAGATGGAGATATAATGTCTGACAAAGAATATTTGTTGTATTTCTTTGAGTATCTTATGTTTAAATCACCTATTCTAACCACCTTGGTGTCATTGTCTATCTTTCTAACTGTTTCAAACTCAACCTTTAACATTTTCTGTTCTTACATACAAAATAAAAAAAATATTTTATAAAAAACTAACTTTATTTTTTCTATCTTAAGGAAATTCATGAATTTCATACGGAATCCCTTCTCTCGGTTTTCCGAGGGAAGCAAGCATATGCCATTTTACTCAGAATTTTGTTGCTGAATTCAATAAAAATAATGTTTAGGTGAAGAGGTGACATCTCACCTCTTTTTTCACCTAATTTTTCACCTCATGAATTTTCATGATTTCATCGTACATGTTTTGTCAAGACTTCATCGTACATGAATTTTCATGATTTCATCGTACATGTTTTGTCAAGACTTCTTCGTAATGAGCGTAAATCAGACAAAAATAATGTTTAGGTGAAGAGGTGACATCTCACCTCTTTTTTCACCTAATTTTTCACCTCAGTTATTTTATAAGCGTTTTACATGAATTGTACGATGTATATTTGAAATCCTAAACAATTTCGTAGCTTCTATTTCTTCTTTTAGTATGTCAAAAGTTTTAACAATGCCGAAGGTTTCTTTATATTTCTTCTTGACATCTGAAAGAAGGAAATCGTCAGCTGTTGGATAGTTTTTGTTCAGAAATGCTAACATGTCCATTTTATTTTCTGCTGGCTTTTCTGCTTCTTTCTTTAAATCTGCATAGTCGTTTCTCATTCTTTCTATCTCTTTGACGGAGTAGTTATATTTCCTCATTGCTGCTTTACATTTTGAACATTGCGGGTTCATTTTTGCGTTATATTCTGAAACCTTACCTGCTAAAACAACTAAGGCGTCAATGGTTTTCTTTAAATCTGAAGCAGTTGGTCTTATCTGTTCGTTCCATATTTTACCCCTTCTATCTTTATCTCTTATCTGCCATACACATTTTGCAGCTAATGAAACAAAGTTGTCGTAGGTCTTAAACTCCCCAGATTTATATATGTCAGAGATGTTCTTATATACCATATCGCAGTCTTTGTCCATGACTTTGTGGTTGCAATGAAATCCAAGAAACTCATAGTTAACCTTACGTATGAACTTCTTTATTTCTACTGAGTCAGTTGGTTTCACTTCAATTTCGTCGAATTCAGGAATAGTTAGTTTTTGTTGCTGAATTTCAGGTAGTTTAGGCAAATGGTCAATAATGTCCTGCATTTCATAAAGATATTGTTCATTTGTTTCATCCTGTGCAGTGCAATCTAAATCTCCTTGGAGAAGTTCTTGCTTTATCTTCTGGATTTCTGTTTCGAAAGTATATGAAGAAGGAATGAAGCTTTTCATTTCTACTAACATTGAAGTTGGGTTCATGACTAACGAGTTTGGTGCTGTTGTTGTTTGAATTGTTGTTGTGCCGATTGTTGACATTTCTGTTCTTACATACAAAATAAAAAAATAAATAAAAATAAAACTAACTTTATTTTTTCTATCTTAAGGAAATTCATGAAAATTCATGAAAATTCATGAGGTGAGAAAACAGGTGAAAAAAGAGGTGAGATGTCACCTCTTCACCTAAACATTATTTTTTGGTCATTTACGCTCATTACGATGAAGTCTTGACAAAACATTTACGAAGAAGTTTCGACAAAACATATACGATGAAGTCTTGACAAAACATATACGAAGAAATCTTGACAAAACATTTACGATGAAGTCTTGACAAAACATATACGAAGAAGTTTTGACAAAACATTTACGATGAAATCATGAGGTGAGAAAACAGGTGAAAAAAGAGGTGAGATGTCACCTCTTCACCTAAACATTATTTTTTGGTCATTTACGCTCATTACGAAGAAGTTTCGACAAAACATATACGAAGAAGTTTTGACAAAACATTTACGAAGAAGTCTTGACAAAACATATACGAAGAAATCTTGACAAAACATTTACGATGAAGTCTTGACAAAACATATACGAAGAAGTTTTGACAAAACATTTACGATGAAATCATGAGGTGAGAAAACAGGTGAAAAAAGAGGTGAGATGTCACCTCTTCACCTAAACATTATTTTTTGGTCATTTACGCTCATTACGATGAAGTCTTGACAAAACATATACGAAGAAGTTTTGACAAAACATTTACGAAGAAGTCTTGACAAAACATATACGAAGAAATCTTGACAAAACATTTACGATGAAGTCTTGACAAAACATTTACGAAGAAGTTTTGACAAAACATTTACGATGAAATCATGAGGTGAGAAAACAGGTGAAAAAAGAGGTGAGATGTCACCTCTTCACCTAAACATTATTTTTACTGAATTTTGCAACAACTTTCTCTCAATTGGAGCTGTGGCATAATCTTTGCGTAAGCGGTTCAGACCTTCTTCGAACTCTTGGTCTCTCTTCGATTTGGATTGAGATTGGAATTGGTAGTAACCTTGTAGTGGAAATTGGTAGTAATTTGGATTGAGGTGGAAATTGGTAGTAATTTGGATTGAGATTGGAATTGCTGGAACTGAGGTGCAGGGGTTGGTGCTTTCGGTTCTTCTGGATTGAGATTGGACTCGGTTGGTGGGACGTCGGACATTCGTTTGTGGCTTAACCGTCGGACCACAACGATAAAAATCTCTGCTACTAGCAGTACTGCTACTGACAGTAGCAGTACTTTTTCTGACAGTAGCAGTACTTTTACTGACAGTAGCAGTACTTTTACTGACAGTAGCAGTACTTTTACTGACAGTAGCAGTACTTTATCGTCGAAAACCCTCTCAAATTTTCCTTTTTACTGCAACTAGCAGTACTTTTACTGACAGTAGCAGTACTTTTTCTGACAGTAGCAGTACTTTTTCTGACAGTAGCAGTACTTTTTCTGACAGTAGCAGTACTTTTACTGACAGTAGCAGTACTTTTACTGACAGTAGCAATGGACAACATCGAGCCATTAGATGAGGCAATTTACCTAATTTAAATTAACGACTGCGTAAAAGACTACTTGCGCAAGGTCATGAAGCCCAAGGTCAAGTTCACCACTATTTCTGGAAGGGCTGCCTTGACTCTCGAGATTTCGACTGGAATTCCAATTCAAATACCAGACGGGACAGCCTTCGACGACATAAAGCAAGCAAAGAAGGAAGCCATTATAAAGTTCTTTGCCAAACGTCCTTGGATACTACTTCCAAACAGAGAGAGTCCAATTCCACGAATTATACAAATTCTCAGAGCACTGTTCCACTTCTCTGGTCAACCATTCTACATAACTACAGAAGGCGGCATCCAACCAGTTCAGTAAACATCTCATTTTAACTCCACTTTTTTTATGTTTTTTGTGAAAGTGTCAAAAATAAATTGTTTTCATGAGTTTTCTACGATGTTAGAAAAAATGTTATTTTCTAATATCTTCACATTCAATACTTTTTCAGCACTTTTCCGTAGTTATATATGAAAGACAATTCGAGATAAAAGTCATAGTACAATGGAATAATATGTTGCACACCATTTGTTGTGAACCAAACTTGAAAGTCAGAGAAACTGTTACTAGGTGGTTCGTAGAATTTAGAAGCAAAGTCATAACGGTCCTTACCAATACATAGAAAACTATTGTTGCTTGAACTGAAACTTGCATGACACATGACATTTTGAGGGTCAAACACGTTTCTATAAACCATCAAATCTGCTGGTGGAAGTATAAATTTAAATGGACCATCTGGTGGTAATGGTTCGTTCTGGTTTAGTAACCGAAGAAATTGTGCCCAAGAACGTTTGTCTACTTCCCAAAATAAAAACTCTGTATCTCTTGGAGGGTTAATTTCAATCTTTTGAAATGAAACGGTGGAGTTCATCTTGTCATATTCTAGTTTCAGATAGTATGTTCCATTTAGTAAAGAGTCGTATTTTTCTTGAAATTCCCAATAATATTTGTTCATTTGAGTTTGAAAGTCATTTAGAGTTTTCTCAAGACTTTCGTCTGAACGAACTGTAAAGATTCTCATTTCGTCAAATCTGTCTATTAGACCATCAGGACCTTTATACTGCCCATGAAAATCTACTGCGAACATAAATGCGTTAGTTCTATTTGAAAACAAAACTCTTCTAAATCCTATTGCCTTTGCATCTGAAGGACTTTGAAGCCAACGAATTGGATAGTCAAACTTGTATGCTCGGGATGAAATTTCTTCATCTGATATATTCCTACCAGCATTTGTAAAGATATAGTCTAACGGTTTTGTATCTGCTACTTTTGTTCTTTGTTTTTCAACCTGAAGCATTTAATATATGTAAAAATATACTGTTTTAAAATGGTATGCCATATAGCTTCTTGAATTTGTTAAGAAGTATTTGAACGTGTTTTCCATCTGTATCTCTAGTGCTTACATAAGCATAGCCTGCCTTAGTAAAATATACTTGTAATTTCCTATAGTTTACGCCGGTATAAAAGTAGAAAGAGTCTTGTTCTTCGCTATAGTAGTAAAACTCAAACGTATGCTCGCCATAGTCTGTAATTTCAATTGCTTCATCTTCTAGTTCGTCGACAAATTCGAATACAATATCTCGAAATTTGCTTTTGTTCTTATTGTTTTCAGAACAAGTGACCCAACGTAAGTTTTCAAGTCTATTGTCGTTTCTTATACGGTTTATATGGTCTACAAAAGGTAAATTGTTAGGGTTCGGTATAAAATGAGTTGCAATGACAACATGTTTTAAATAGTGTTTTCCACCAATCCTCATCCTAGCATATCCGTCATTTCCCTCCCATCCGCTTAAAACTCTTTTTGTCTTTTTGTTTCTGACTTCAAATGACTCTCAACAGTGAATTTCATATTTCTCATCTAACAAACAAGTTTCCCAACGGTCTGTTCCAACAAACTCAGCGTACATTTCAAATAAAATAAAAAAATGTTTTTCCTTTACTTTACATAGCCACCTGCTGCCATAAGTCTTTGACGCCAACCCATACCAGCTAATGAAGGTTGACTTTTTTTAGTTTCCAAACTAAACTTTGGTTTTGGTTTATCTTCAGTTTTTGGTTTTTCTTCTTCTATCGGTTTTTCGTCACTTTTCGGTTCCGCTGGTTTTACCCCACTTGCAGGTATGGTTGTGTCGTCAACATCTTCATAAATATCATATGCCATTTGTTTTTGTTTTCCTTTCAACTTTTTGTGTTTGTTGTAAAGTTTAGAATATTTCGACTCTAAGTCAATGAGATGTTCTATAATGAACTGTTGGTCAGTGAAGTAAACTTTTCCATCTGTTGTCTCGAAAGCTCCTCCAGACTTCAATATTTTATTTGTGAGAGTCTGTTTCTTTTTTGAGATACTAGCCGTTCCATTTCTATGAAAAGTGACTTTATAGTTAGGGTTTGTATTTCCAGACCTTGCACCTTCTATTATTGAATTTTTCTCTTCATCTGTAAGTTCTTTGACAGGTTTTGACAATGGTTCTGAACTTTTTGTTTGTGGTGTCAAATCTACGGTTTCAACTTCTTCGGTCATTTCATCTCAGTAAAAAATTTTAGTTTGGTTTGTTTTCAACTGGTTGTTGTTGTTTTTTAAGTCGGTCTAAAACTTCCTGAGGTATAGGAAGAACTTGACAAACACGTTGTGTAACTGCTGGAAGCCGACAAATCCATCTTGAGCCCATTTGTCTCAATGCTGTATTGTTCATTTCATCTCAATAAAAAACTTTACATTTCCCACGTTTGAGGCGGTTGCGGTTGGTTATTGTTTACCCATTGTTGTGCATGGTTATATCCTCTGTTAAAGAATCTTTCACCTTGGTCCATATAATTTCCTGCTTGGTTATAGTAGTCATTTGCTTTGTTATAATAGTTTCCTGCTTGTCTTCCTACATTGTCCATCCATCCTTGAACTTTTCCTCTTGTTTCAGGATTTGGAATAAGATTTGTTGCATCTCGTGCTACATCCCAACCTTTCTGTACAGTTTGTATAATAGGTTGTGCTTTCTCTTTAAGTATACCTAATGTACTCAAAATCTTCCTTCCAACTCCAAATACACCTCTGGCTATTGTTCCCACTGCGGGTAAAAATCTAGATGCAACTCCTGCTAATGCGCCAAATAAACCCATTTCTTATGGGTTAAAAAATGACGAATCCAAACAAGGACCCCTATGTTTCTAAAGCGACAAAGAAAGCACTCATGATAAAAATCTTTAGTTCAACACCAAATGCTTGGTTTATGGATATCTTGGAAAACATTCCGAGAGTTAGAACAGATGGACCACCATACTGGCTAATATTTGTTGGTCAAAACACAAGATACTGTGAAGCCATACCATTACAGTCTAAAAATATTTTAGATGTGAAAACTGCTTTGACAATATTCGTTGACAAATACCATCCAACAAAACTGACATCTGACTATGAAAGTTCTTTCAAATCAGATGATGTAAAAAACTATCTGCGTTCAAAAAATGTAAACCAATATTTCATTGTCGACCAAAACCATTCTGCTCTTGGTGTCATTGACAGTTGTATAAAAATATTAAGAGACTTAAACCAACCACAAGGTGGTGAAGCAAATGAAATGTCATATGACGACAAGTATAGACACTTCTCCATGGCAAAGATGAGACAAGTTTTAAATATTTACAATAACCGTAAACAAAAAGGTTTGGGAAACCACTCCCCCGAAGAAATGAAAAACAACCCTGACTTAGAGAAAGACTATATATTTAACAATTTAGTCAAAAGAGACAAACAAGAAAGAATGCCAGGCTTCAAACTTCGGAAGGGTGACAAAGTAAAAATAGAAATACCTAAACGCGACCCATATGAAAATACTATTGACTATGACAACAATGGGAACCCGACAGGTACTCACATTCGTGTTCGTAAAAATAGAAGAAAGTATACAAGAGAATATTATGAAGTTTTAGGCAAACATGGCAAAATGTACACACTGCAAGCAGAAGATAAAACGACTATTGTCAGACCTCGTTTCAAACTTGTCAAAGTTCAAGGTGGTATACTTTCAAAGACAGTTCCTAACAAATATAAGACAACTCCTGACGAATATGCTAAAGAAGTTGAAAATGACGACTAAGCATTTCTATACCATGCGTAAACTGTCATGTAAGGTGGCATGTAGTCTTTACTTTGTCCCGTTGTTTGCGTATACCCTGAAACGAAATGTGTATGGTTTCCTCCTACCTCAGTGTTACTCAGGAAACAATTTATAGCAAACTGAACGTTGTCTTTAACATCATATCCTTTACCTTTTGTCATTCCTGTCCAATCCCAATATTTATGCCTATGCCCACCTTCTTGAGATGTAGTTAAACTTACGTAGTGACTGTGCGCAGGTAAATTTGCACCTGAAATCGTTTTACTTCCACCTGTTTCCTTTGAAGAGTTTGCACAATACAAAAACCTGTCGACTATTTGAGTCCAAGTTCCAAAACCAAGTACTACTTCTGGTCTGGTAGAGTTCATTGACGTATAAATAGAACCTATAGGATATACTGTTTGAAGTATTTCTGTCTTTAATGTTTGAAGCTCTGTTTTGTCAGCTTTCTTATCTAACATTGTTGGTAGTTCATATGCTTCAAAGTTTCTGGCATGCTCTTCGATATTCCTGCAACTGTTATCTAAATTGTTAAGAGTATCTTTTACGCTTGTACTCGGATTCTCTGAAGGTGCACTTGAACCAAGGTCAAAGTTCAATACTATGTCGTCTGCTGTAAAAGTTGTAAAACTTGTATGTGTATGTCCAACGTCACTTTTCCTGTTTAAGGTTTCTTGTAAGTTTGTAATATTTGCAATGGTATGTGTATGAGTCTTTTTAGAATATTCGTTTTCAGCTCTTGTCACTTCACTTGACATTTTATTGTCAACATATGTTTTGTCAGCTTTCTTTTCAACATCCTCTTTCGTTGCATATGTTGCATCTGCTCTGTCATGTTCTTCTTGAACTTTTTCAATGACATACTCTTTGTCAGCTTTGTTGTCAACATCTGCCTTCAAAAGAAGTTCATTTATAGGTTTCTCGTTTAAAGTTCCTTTTGTTGGATTTATACAGACAGTATTGTTCTTCTTGTCTTGAAATAGAAACTCATCTGTCATTGGGTTTAATGTCAGTTTTAAGTTTCCTTCTTTCAATGACTCAGATATCTTAGAATAGTTTGAAAAGTTTGTTGTGTTCTTATTTAGAGCTTGCATAATGAGTTGTCGGTTGTGTTGTATTTCTCTCATGGAAGCAATATCTTTCGACATTTTTATTCTAGATAAAATATGCTTCCAATAGAAAAAGAAAATTCAAGAGTTGCTACAACTAAACCATTAGATGAACTTTTTACTAATGTCGGTCAAAAGTTTGAGACAGAGACCGTAAAGCATGAAGGCTATCGTTTTGACTACCCATTGAGATGGTTAAGAGACCCATCCGTCACAAAAGCTGTTGGCTTTCGTAGAATGAAGTTCATTTCAGAAGCCATACATGGTTTCCCATTTACGGTCGGTTTTGAAGTTCGATACTATAACAAAGAAAAACGTACGTATGAGAAATTTGAACAGGGAAAACTTTTACAAGTGAATTTGCTTGTAAACTTAGAAACAACTCTTCAAGCTTTTCAAGAAAAAATAAACGATATCTATCTCGAATATGCAAACCAGTATAACATTGACGAAGGAGAGTACCATCTCGATATTATATATGACAGGAAAAATGCAACTGTTAAAATCAATAGAATAGAAGACCTTGGAGAAAACGTTTATATTTCTACAAAATATAACAACTTGGCATGGTATAGATTTTTGAGGATGTTAAATCAGCCTGCAGCATATCCAGTACACCCGAACTTTTATGAAGTCGAAAACCCTAATGGAACATATGAAAATGTTTTCGACCAAGATGCTATTATAGTTCATGCTTCATTTTCTGGTGCACAAAACTCTTTTTTATGCTTGGCAAATGACTTTTACGAAAAACCTACAAAGTTATACGAACCACCAAGTGGAAGTATTTCAGACTTTCAAGTATGGTTTACTACAGATGGAAGAAAGAGAATAATTCCATTATACCATGCGTTTTACTTAGAACTTAGTTTCATATACAACTACTATCGAACGGTAAAAATATAATTTTTTAATACGGTTGAGGTGTTGGATTTGGTTGCCAACTTGACTGTGGTGCAGGTTCAGGCTGTTGTATAACAGGAGCTTGTTCTTCTGGTTCAGGGTCTTTAGGTATAATACCAACGAACTGACCTACTCTTTTACAAATATTTTTGACTCCGTTCCAAATTCCTTTTCCGACAGATTTTATTCCATTCCATATACCTCTTCCAACTCTTCTGAAGAAGTTTCCAATACTACTGAAGAAACCCATTTTACTATATGTAAAAATCTAATGTCCGCCTAGTCTTTTGCGTTTCCTGTTGAGTTCCATAGCATTCTTTAACTGGAGCTCATACATTCTGTTTCTCCTCTGGTAGAAAACATATTCTGGGTCAACTCCTGTGTTCGCGTCATCTGCATAAAGTTGTTTATATCCCACTTCAGGGTTTGTATAAAACTCTTTCCATCTCATATTTGCATACCATGGTGGCAAACCTAACGCAGCGTCATTTGACATGGCAGTTTGCATTTGTACATCTGTTGGCACTTGACCATAGTTTGCCATTGCAGTTTGTATTCTAACTTCATTTGGAATATTCTCTGGGTTTGGTTGTCCAGGTTGCTGGGCATTCGCTAAGTTCTGTGCGTCCATTTAATATTAGATAAAAATATCTCTTACGAGTACATATACTGAACATTTGCAGGTATTGGTTCATCTTCATATTCTCTATATCTTTCTGCCACGTCAAATAAATAAATGACACAATGGAAAAAACCTAAAACAAGTAGTCCTATTTCAAACCACATTTACTTACTAATAAAATTTCTTTATTGTGACACTTTCTCCAGTTTATAGGACCTCTCTCATATTCTATCTTGTCATATATAAACTCATAGTCATGTATGTCCTCTAACCATCTCATAACGGTTTCCAAACCACTTTTATCGGATGTAAAGTAAAAGCATGGATGGTTATGTATAACGTCTAAAGTTTCTAAAGAGTCTCTCAAAGTCCAGTTTACTTGGTATTGAAAATCCCATGTGTTATAGAACGGCGGGTCCACTATAAAGAAAACATTTTCCTTGTCTTTATATTTTTCATACAAATCTGTCCAATGACATCTCACAAACTCTATACCCTCAATATATTTTTCTATGTCCTCTTTGAAAACATTTGTATAGTTAAGATATAAAACTTTTGACATAAGTGTTTCAATGTCATGAACTCTTATAGAACCACTATATAATAGTCTAGCAGATATACTATCCCAGTCTATATATTCTGCTTTTTTCAAAACCTCTCTCACAATATTTTTGTTATCTAATGGTATACGTTCCATCTTACCTATAGGTATCTTTTCTTTTAACTCTTTCAATATATTGTTTGTGTCTGGAATATGTTTGAGACGGTCCATATAGTTGTCGAAGTCATTGCATATAATCTTTGAGTCTGGGAATACGGTATGGCACAAATGGGATATATAGAAACTTCCACCGAACAAATCTACAAATGTTAGACCATTCGGTAGTTTCTTAAGTTCTCTCAATAGAATATCTTTACATCTACTCTTATTTCCAAAGAACGGTAACGGTGGTTTTGTAAAATTCATTTATATATAATAATAAAAATGTTTTTTCCTGAAAAGTGACAGAAAAGTGACAAAACATTTACGATGAAGAAGTTTCGACAAAACATTTACGAAGAAATCATGAAAATTCAAGAGGTGAGAAAACAGGTGACATCTCACCTCTTCACCTAAATTATATTTTTGGGTCATTTACGCTCATTACGAAGAAGTCTTGACAAAACATTTACGAAGAAGTCTTGACAAAACATTTACGATGAAGAAGTCTTGACAAAACATTTACGAAGAAGTCTTGACAAAGCATGTACGATGAAATCATGACAAAACATTTACGTTCATGTTTGACAAAACATGTACGATGAAGTCATGACAAAACATTTACGATGAAGAAATCATGACAAAACATTTACGATGAAGTCATGACAAAGCATGTACGATGAAATCATGACAAAACATTTACGAAGAAGTCATGACAAAACATTTACGAAGAAGTCATGACAAAGCATGTACGATGAAATCATGACAAAACATGAAAACATATATAATTTGTGAAAAGCGACACATTATATAATGTTTTCGACCCAGAAGACTAACAATTTTCCGAATAAAAACTTCATTTATACTAAACATCTTCAGGGCTAGAAGGCACGAAGTGCCTGGAAGCCCCACTACCTTTTTTTTTTTTTTTTTTTTTTTTTTTTTTTAATTCTAAGTAGATTTTGTAAAAAATCAAGAAAGAAAAATTTTCACGTGCTTTATTTTTTCTTTTTTATAATAATACATATTATTATATAATTAACATATTCATAATGTTTCACCCTTTCAAAAATATCCTCCTCCTCCTCGCAAATAAACGTACATACGGGTGGCCTCTTTTTTCAAAAAATTAAAATTTGAAATTTTGGGCTCAAATATTAGAGATTTTTTCAACCTTCAACGATATATGTTGTCTATATCAGACCTCCTTTCTTTTTGATACTTAACATTGTTCCTAAATCTTAGCCGTTAAGGCTGTTCTGAAAATATTTTTTTTTCGAAAAAATTCGAAAAAAAATTCTTAAAATTCAAAAATCCCTTAATTCCTGAGGATTTTGGAAAAAAGTTTTTACATGAACATGTGTATATTATATGAAGTATATTGATAAGGTAAAAATCAAATTTTATTGCATATTCATCAAGAAAATAAACTAACGAATCCCTCAAAATTGAGAGGGTAATCCTCCTCCTCTCAAATAAACGTACATACGGGTGCACCCTTAATATGTTTCACTCTCATTACTGTTATTAAATTAAAATTCCGATTAACGATACCCATAATTTTTTTAATATGATCTTCAAAATTTTCTGAATTCAAAGTTTTGAAATGAACAACTCTCCCTTACCTATTCCATTTATTAAACGCTATGTTGGTAGGAAGAGTTGTTTAGTCAAAATAGTTCGACCTGAGTCGCGTACATTACGAAAATTAACTCAAAATACTTCTAAAAATAATCAAAACGTAAATGGAGACAAACCATTAACAGATTTAGCATCACCGCGACTTGAAGAACCAATCGATGATCTTATAGGTCCAATTTTTATTCCAAGTGTTCCTATCGTAAAACGAAAATTTCATCATGAAGTTGAATGTCCACAATTAGAGCAACTTAAGCCTCAGTTAAATAACAATACAAACGATTTGATTATGCGAAAGATAGAAGTGTGCAATATTATTTGTGATTTCAGTGACCCGGATTCCGATAAAAAAGCAAAGAAAGAAAAGAAGACAGCACTCAAAGAATTACTTGCGTTATTCTCAAATAAAGATAATTGTCAAGCCGTTGCGCCTCCAATTATTGATTCTCTGTTCAAAATGTTTGAAGTTAATATTTATCGACCATTCCCATCAGTTTCTGAGAAATACTTAGCGTTCGATGAAGAACCATTGATGTCAGAAGTTTCATGGCCTCATTTATCATTAGTTTACGATATTTTGATTCAATATCAAACAAATTTTCCACGTGATCCACATTTCACAGAATTATTCATGAACAAACTTCTTAGTGCCTTTGATTCCTGCGATTCTAACGAGCGTGGAAAGCTAATTACTATCTTTACAAACTATTCAACGACGAATCCGAACTTAGTTCATAAATTAGTCGAATATTACGGTCACGTATGTCGTGAGTACATCGATGGTCACTCATATTCTTTTGCTTTAACTCCTGCTTTGCGATTATTCAACATTTCTCTTAAAACTGCTCCAAACAACGAAATGGAGTTTTATTACAACATAATATTGACCAACATTGTACCATTACTCAAGAAACAGCATGTTACAACTATTTTACCACTATTGAATCCAATATTTGATTTCATCATTCCAAAAGAGCCCAAATTTGCAGAGATCATTGTTCTTTACATTGTTAATCATTGGCCTGTTTCATGGCCATCTAAACAGCTCATTTTCGTTGACTTCATCAACAATACAATGGAAAAAATGCCATTGAAAAACTTTTCATCCATTTGTCACAAAGTTTTTAAATTATATGCAACATGTCTTCAATCCAAATCATACAAAGTTGCAGAAGCATCAATGAAAGTATGGGATAACCACAAACTGATCACATTAATACTGGACAACACTCGCTCGATATATCCAGTCATTATGAGTCCTCTGATTTTTACAATGAAACAACACTGGAACCAATCGACAAGAAACTGTGCAATTTCTGCATACAAACAAGTCCACAACATTGATCCGTTTGTTTTCGATGAGATCAGTAACAAACTTGCGAAGAAGATGAAAACAACAGACGGCAACGAACTCATCAAAAAATGGGCTACAGTTGCAAAATTCAGTGCAAAAACAGACAGAGAACTTAACTTGGCAAAGAAACTGTCAGAAATCCAACAAGTTTTTTCTGTTGTTGAAGACAAAGAAGATAATCAAATTAACAACACAGGAAGTAACAAGAAATGAATTATATGTTTTTTTTTATGTTTTTATGTTTTTATATAAATATTTGTTTTGTAAATAGATTTATATAAATATGTTTTGTGAATAGATTTATATATATGTGTTTTGTAAATAGATTTATATATATGTGTTTTGTAAATAGATTTATATATGTGTGTGTTTTATAAATAGATTTATATAAATATAGTACTTTCAAAAAGAAATTCTGAGTCAATTGAAAAGTCAATTGAGTAAATTTGTTAAAAATAAATATATACATAATTGCGATTTGGAGGCTTTACATGAGAAAATGAGTTAAATACTCATCTCAAAATTTGTGTTTAGATTGAGTCTGTAAAAACTAGAGATTGCTATCTGAAATAATATTTGGAATTTATGGGGATTACTATTCATACGGCTAAATTTGTGGATAAGAAATGATTTCTAAGACATAATACCTCTCGGATTGAAAAATAATTCGCTATAATGATGTATCGGTTCTAGTTTGACCCGATTATAATTGTGATATGAAATAATATATGTATATAAAAAATTTTTTAGTTAGAATGAATCACCAAATGTGTTATGCTTATCATTAGAAAATGAATTTTAGACATCATTTCCTGCTGTATCTTCCGATTTCTTCTTTTTAGATCGAATAATGAAGAAACAGACAACTGCGATAATTGCAATTACGACAATTACACCAATAACAATACCTGCAATTGCACCACCACTCAATCCTGCAGATTTGGCCAATTCATAATTTGTATTGTCTTCCTCAATATTATATGAAGGAACTTTCTTGGTTATTTTAACTCCACCGATACTGTCTCCTTGGTAATTTGTTGAAGCAATTACACCTCGAATTGATTTAGCATTCGCAAGGAAATTTCCTTCGAGTTCGTTTGTTCCAAAATATGCAAATATATCAATATTTACATCACTAAATGCCTCATCATCAATAGATTTAACATCTTTTTCAATATATATTTTAATATGTAAATCGTCATCGGGACTTGCGTAGACATAATTACTCCCAATTGTGCAATCTCCACCTAAGCTTAAGATTTCAATAAATTTCAGATTTTTACAATGAACCTTCGGTAATTCCATACTTTTAGAACCATCTGGAACATTGTAAATTATTATTTCAGTTTCTTCTAAATATAATTCAATCAATGATTGAAAAATCAGTTTTTTCGCAGAAAAGGAATGTAGAGCCACAGATTCAACAGATTTTGGAATAATAGCATCTTTTAGTGAAGTATTATAAAATGCATAATCTGCAATGGTTTTAACTGAACTACCTAATGTAACTTTCTCAAGACTACCACATTCATAGAATGCTTTCCAACCAATTGTTTCAACAGAATCTGGAATAATAACTTCTGTTAATGCAGTAGAAGCAAATGCGGATCCTCCAATGGTTTTAACTGAACTGCCTAATGTAACTTTCTTAAGACTACCACACTCATAGAATGCATTCCAATCGATTGTTTCAACAGATTTTGGAATAGTAACTTCTGTTAATGCAGTAGAAGCAAATGCATAATCTGCAATGGTTTTAACTGAGCTGCCTAATGTAACTTTCTCAAGACTACCACATTCATAGAATGCTTTCCAACCGATTGTTTCAACAGAATCTGGAATAATAACTTCTGTTAATGCAGTAGAAGCAAATGCGGATCCTCCAATTGTTTCAACAGAATCTGGAATAATAACTTCTGTTAATGCGGTAGAAGCAAATGCGGATCCTCCAATGGTTTTAACTGAACTGCCTAATGTAACTTTCTTAAGACTACGACACTCATAGAATGCAAAATCACCAATTGAGGTGACTGTCTTAGAAAGTGTGATGCTTGTAATACTTGACTTAGAAAACGCATTGTCTGAAATACGTGTAACTAAATTTGACACAGTGACTGAACGAATGGTTAGGCAATCTCTAAAATCAGCATCATCATTATTAATGGTAACATCAGAATCCTGTTCTGGACACTGGGATACTGTTAAAGACAGTAATGTGTACAACATTATTTAAAAATAAATATTTTTAAAAAAGAAAAATTTCCGAATTCAAAAATTTAAAGATGAAAAGTCAAGACCATCTGTGAGGTGAAATGTATATCGTTTTGGAAAAAATGGAAGATCTAATCATGTTATATATAATTAAAAAAAAAAAAAAAAAAAAAAAAGGTAGTGGGGCTTCCAGGCACTTCGTGCCTTCTAGCCCTGAAGATGTTTAGTATAAATGAAGTTTTTATTCGGAAAATTGTTAGTCTTCTGGGTCGAAAACATTATATAATGTGTCGCTTTTCACAAATTATATATGTTTTCATGTTTTGTCATGATTTCATCGTACATGCTTTGTCATGACTTCTTCGTAAATGTTTTGTCATGACTTCTTCGTAAATGTTTTGTCATGATTTCATCGTACATGCTTTGTCATGACTTCATCGTAAATGTTTTGTCATGATTTCTTCATCGTAAATGTTTTGTCATGACTTCATCGTACATGTTTTGTCAAACATGAACGTAAATGTTTTGTCATGATTTCATCGTACATGCTTTGTCAAGACTTCTTCGTAAATGTTTTGTCAAGACTTCTTCATCGTAAATGTTTTGTCAAGACTTCTTCGTAAATGTTTTGTCAAGACTTCTTCGTAATGAGCGTAAATGACCCAAAAATATAATTTAGGTGAAGAGGTGAGATGTCACCTCTTTTCTCACCTGTTTTCTCACCTCATGAATTTTCATGATTTCTTCGTAAATGTTTTGTCGAAACTTCTTCATCGTAAATGTTTTTAACTTCACTTAAAATGCCACGTAAGCTACGTAAGAATATACGTAAGAGGAAGGGAGCATTGAAACATCCAAAAGTAAAACTGACACCACAACAACAGTTGCAACAACAAATGCTGAATGACCCCACTATGTTGCAACAAATGTCAAGCAACCCTATGCTTTTAAACCGAGTTATTGGTGCACAGAGTGGAGGTTTAAGAGCGGCACTTTTAGCGAAAATGGCAGGCTATGGTGGAGCTGCAGACGGAACAGCCTATAACCCTCAAAGTCAAATGAATTTGAGTTCACTCAAAAATCAAATAACAGATGTCAAAAAGTCAAACATAGACATACAGAAACAAATAAGTGAAAACGAAAAGAAACTAGAATATGACAGACACACAAAGAAACTCAATGAGTTAAACGTAGAGAAAAAGAGAGAAAGAAGAACAACTGAAAGAACTAAGTACAGAGGAATATGCGAAAAAAGTGTCAGAAAAAGCAGCAGAAGTAGCAAAAATGGAACAAGATGTCATAAATTTGAAAAACCATACTACTCAATATAAAGTACTGAAAGATGAAGAAATAAAACAAAAAGCCCTGAAGACATATATGGATAGCAATGAGTATAAAAAAAGAAGTTGAAGCAAATGTAAAGGCAGAAAAATTTTACAGTTGCAAAACCAAACCGTACAGTATGAAAACTTAGCACAAGAAAGTAAAAATAACGACGCAGCCATGCAAAAGGCAATGAAAAGCGCAGAATATATAAAAGCTAACAATGACTGGTTAGATGCCCAAGCCAACGCTAAAGCAGCCCAACTTATAGGGTCAATAAGGACAAAAATACAAGCGGATGAAGACAGTTCAAATGAAGCTTTAATGAATGCTGACTTTAAGAACGCCTTCGAAGCTCTTCATAGTAAAGTGAAACTAGTGAACGATTTCTCATCTGGAAAGAAACTGAAGTCTGAAGGTTTCGACAAAGAGTTAAGAGAAGTAGCACAAAATATGACGAAAATAACAGATGCAGCAACGAGACAGGCAGTTCAAAGTGCCTATGACGCCGTTAGAGCAACTGTTGTGGAAAGTCAAGAAAAAGAGTTACAACAGACCAAAACAGACCTAGTAAATGCTTTCTTAAGAACGAAAAGTCAGGTAGGACATTACGCTGCAGATGGAACATATGTGCCAGCTGGTGGAACTTATATACCACCAAACCCTCCAAGAGAAGCACCTGCACCAGGACTACCTAGAACATTTACATCGTCACATGGACATAGACACAGGCATGCACCAAAACCAACACAACAACCAACAGTTCAAAACCCTGCACAGCAACAACAACCAGAGCAAGGACAACAACCAACAATTCAAAATCCAGCACAACAACCACCTCCACAACCAGCACAACAACAACCACAAACAGAGCAAGGACATAAAAGAAGTAGAGAACAAGGAAACCAAGAATTCTTAAAAATGCTGAAGGAAGAGTGTGGTTTCCCAGATACTGTTGACTTTAGTGACAGATATAAAGAAGCTATTAGAAAGTTCAAGGATGGAAATACTGACCCGAACCTATTTAGCTTTATGACTCAGCACCAAATGGGATATAATTTCAAACCTGGAAAATACAAGCTCGCTAAGAGATATGATTTAATAGCATATCATCCAAATGACATGAACGAATTTACTCCGAGATATTTGATGTCAGAGCTAAATGACAATTCAACTTTCGTCATGAAACGCGTAAAAAATAGAGACGGAACGAAAGAACAAAGGCTTATGAATGCGGATGACGTAGATAGGGAAATTGTTGAAAACGGTCTCGGAATATATGAAATGCCAGCAGATGAGGTACAAGAAACTCAACAGGAAGAAGTTCAGATACAACCAGACATGGAAGAAATAGTTCAGCAACAACAGCTAGAAGAGCCTGAAGGAAACGAACAAGTCCCTCCTTTGGAAACTAACTTCACAGAACTAGATGAAGATTTGGAACAGCCGAAAAATCTTGACCCTCAACAAGTGTATGCGGAGAATATGGAATCTTTCCAAGAGTCTAAAAAAAATTCGGCTGACATAGTAGAAGGATATCGAAAAATGTTCGCCGACATACAAAAGACTCCAACACCAGATGAAAATATTCAGCATAGAATGGAAGTACTGAAAGAAAATGTACACAAATACAACAACCCTTTTTACTTACGAGCATTTAACGTTCAATCTTTGGATGAACTCGGTGAAAATAAAAGGTTAAATTTCAACAAAACATATAGAAATGAAACATTGTTTAAAGTTCATTCAGAACCTAACCAAGATGGAAACAAACCTACTTTTGTTTCTGCAGACTATGGAACTACAATGAGATGGGGTCATAAAGCTAATCCAGATAGGTGGTTCATAAACTTACAACCACAATTCCAAGAAGTTGTAGACGCAATGGAAGTGAATGGTGAACCAGATATAGCTGGTATTTTAAGCGCGGCTTTAATGCCATTGAAAGATATGAAACATGCAGATATTTTGGACCAGTATGAAATGAACATGGCTGATGGAAATATAACACCTGACGTTCTAGAACATTTATCTCAAAGAACTACACAGAACCATAGAGATGGTATATTTGGTGAAGAGTTTAGAAAGAAAGTTAGGGACAGAGAAGGAAGAGAACCTATTGTACATGACCTTGCAAACGAAAGTTTACAAAATGTCATAAAAACTTACTTTTCAGACAATGAACCGAGAAGGGATGAATATTTAAGAAAACTCAAATGGACAGTACCAAATGAAATGTTAGTATTGAAAAACATGTTCCTTGACAAAATAAAACCAACTACAGAAATAAATGACGAAAGACTGAAAGATTGGGTAAAAGCTTTCCCATTCACAAAAGATATTGTTGGTAACATGGAAAGAAAACCAGAATGGCTACAAAAACATATATTTGGAAACGAGCTTATTCCATATGGGCAGGCACTGTTTGAAGAGCTTGAACCGCAAACTCAGGAAAGAGTCATGCAAACAATACGCGAAGACTCAAATACAAACTATGACAAACTCTTTCTAGGATATAGGTTACCTGAGATGGGCGACCAGAGCCCAAAGGCAAAAAGGACATGGGAAATTTACAACATACTAGGTGAACATGATGCGATGCTACAACTTGAAGCAGATGGCAAGCTACCAAAAGCGACACCAAAGAAGAAGAGAAGAGTTGTAGAAAGTAGTGAAGAAGTAACTTCATCTAGTGAAAGTAGTGGCAATGAAGGAAAAAGAAGAGTTAAAAACTCAGTCAGGAAGAAAGTAAAGCTTGTGCCAGGTGGGTTCTATTATGATATATAAATCCAACTATTCTATATTTTTACCCATATGAAATGTACGCCGCTCAGAATATAACGCCAACAGTTTTGGATGCCATGAACGGAAATGTTTCCGAATGGTATAACGAATGCGACAATGCCATTAGAAGGTCAGAAATAGTTCCTGGAACTTACGAATATACAACTGCTATTTCTTATGGAAACGTAGGTGAGTTTGGAGAAGGTTCTTCAACAACAGTAGATATTGCTTGCGACAGGTTTCACATTATTTCTATTGACAACTCATTCTTATACGTGGAACAAGACATTGAAATAAAACCTTCTGCCAAGTTGTCTGACAAGAAAGGTTGCAATGGAATTTTCTATGTCGGATACCAATATGCTCCAGAAGTTTTCATGGGATATAAGATATATTCTAACTCTGACTTAGTTCAAACAGTAACATGGGCAAACTATGAATGGTTCGCTTTGAGAAACTCAGTACAACCACAAGCTAGAGAACAAACAGACCAATATGCAACTATTGAGAAAATAAGAAGACTTGACCCTAACGTTCCAGGAGTTTATGTTAACCTTTCTGAACAAACTGCAGCAGCAGTAACCAAAGTAAAACTGAAACTTAGAGTTCCTTTGTCATCTTTCCTCATCTTCAGGTTTTTAAGATACTTGCCAAACTGGGCAGGAAAAATTTCTATCGAACTTACTCCAAGCAAAAATAACTTAGTCATTGCACCAACACAAGACCCATTCAGCATTACTGTAGCTGGAACTGGTGGAGCCAAGTTCTGTGACTTTTGCAAAGATAAGGTTGACTTAGACTTTGGTTTCTCAAACCTCAACACTGAAGTAAACTATTATTTCAATGCTGCTGGAACTGCTTGGGACCCAGTTAAGTTCACATGCGAAAAATTTGAATGCAAGAGAATAGAAAGCAGACTTGCAGTCTATATGTTGGACCCAGATATTTCAAATGCTTTAGCTGCCAAATATATTGCAGTTCCACTTATGTTCCCTATACACCAAATATCTGTCAAAGACTTTGCAGGTGAAGTTGGAAACCAAAGTGCTGACCCAGGTGCAAGAACAGATATTGCTTTAACAACTGCAATGAAACATGCAGATACTATGTTTGTACTGTTCAGACGAACTATAAATGACTATTCTTGTTTCTACAACCCTGGTATTAAATATCATATAAACATAGATGGCAAATATTATCCAAGAGAAGAATATTCTACAGTTGAGGATATGAGGTCATACAACTTGACATTAGATGCTATGAACTTTAACAACAACTTCACAACAACCATTAACCCTGAAATGCAAAGTTCTATTATGCCATATGTGAAAGTATGGACTCATACAGGAGGTCAAAAAACTCAATATACAAATGGAGACCGTTCAAACTTTTGGCTTGGCATTCCATTTGCTGACTCAGAAGACTTTATGGGTGGTATTTCAACTGTTGGTACAGTTCAAATACAATATACTGGTGACAGAGACGGGCCTGATGAATTGAAAGCAAAGAAGTTTACAAAACCAATAGCACTTTTCACGGAAGATGCTCTTTTGAAGATTCGTTCGATGAAACCTGCTGGGGCTCCTCAGATTGGTATAACGACAGCTTCCATCGAGCAGATTTTGGCAGCAGGTCAGTAAGTTGTTCTTGAACTGACTTCTCTCCGTCAAATATTGACAGTACGCCAGTTTTGACATAATATTGTATTATAAACTTTCCTTTAGTAATATCGGTCAGTTTTGAAGTTATATTTTTGTCAACGTCAAGAACTTTCACCATTTCAGTTATACCAACTTTCTTTGCTTTATGAAAATATTTAGGTTCAGCAAAGACTGCTATTCTATAACATTTTCCATTGTTTGTGTAAAGAACTATTCTGTCAATGTATTTGTATTGTTTGTGAGTATAAACCTTGTTTTGCTTCAATTCGAAGAGATACTCAAATACGTCCATCTTTTTATTTGTAGTAAAATGTCATTTCCGAAAAATAGAAGCGTAAGTGTTTCAAAAGGTTTAATGGCGGTGGCAGATGTGAAGTTAAATTCACCAACTCAAACAAACAGTCAAAGTGTTGTTGTCAATGTCAAAGACAGAAATGTTGAAGTGGGGAAACCATACGAAGACGAAGATGGTATAACAATAGTTCCTGTAAAAGAACAACCAACATATCCTGAAGTTAGCAGAGACTTAAGTTCTGTTGCAGATATTCGAAACGACTACCAACAACTGAAAGACAAACTTCAAACTCAGGAGAAGATTTGTCAAGCTTTAAGTATAATGTTAAACTTGGTCGAACACAACCCTGTAAAAGTGAACTCATATGTCATTGCACCTCATGAAGTTTTGAAAGAACTATTGAAACTTTTGACAGAGGCAGACGATATAAACATCAAAAAATAGAACCCGACATTAGTTGCTGTGGTGTTTCATATAATGCCATTGACAAGATATACGTTATGAAAGGAGGTGAAACGTTGAACTTAAAATATAGTTTCCCAGATGTTATAAAAATATTTGACGACCACAACATTTCATTAAAATTTATTTGCTAAGTAAAAATGTCAAAACTTCTTGAAAGATGTTTGAAGAAAAATAATATAGACTTTATTTCATGTAAAGGACTTTACACACTTTTGAACGATATGAAAGACCCTGTTTTGTTTGTTCGTGTAGACAAAGGAAAGTTCTATGTCTTTACAAAATATTTGAACTTCTTAGACAGAGAACTTCAAGAAACGCCATGTGAAAGTTTAGATGAAGTTCTTCTCCACTTTCAGAAAAACTTTTAAATATATATAAATGGCAGAAGACATAATGGTTTATACTATTACGACTAAAAACCCTGAGTCATATAATTCTATAACAACAAACTTACAAAGTCCTCAAGGACGATATTGTAAACTAACCTTAAACACAATGACGACTAAAGCCTGTTTTGCTCTTTTGACACCAGAAGATTTTATCGTTGTGAATGGTAAAAAATACTCCTTTGAAGATAACTTACTCTCAGATATACCACCAACAGGTTTTGTTACTTATTTAATACTTTAAGGACGGTGTAACATGTGCTGCAACTAGAGCAGGTTTTCATTATGTTTGGATGTCCGACTGAGTTTACTATAAAACGATATGAGCTATAATACAAAACTTATTTTCTGGTTTTTACTACCAACAGTTTCCTATAACAGGAAAAAGGTGTCATACAAGGAATGTCTATTTCCATTGACATTAAGCACACCAATCTTATATATTGTTTTCAAACTTAGGTTCAAAGTGCTATTCGAATGTCGACAGAAACTACTATGACCAAAAGATACTTTATGCGTATTAAACAATACTTTCTCTGCTGGTTTGCCTATTGTTCATTCGAATGCAGAATTTTCAACCTTAGTGAACTCAAAACACTTTGGCAAGTATAACGTTGACATTAGTGACGCAAACTTTGTTCCTGTAAAACTTTTATGTCCTATGTATTTGTCAATGACGGCAGAAAGTTTCGAATTGGAAGATGCAACTGGTGAAAGTATTGTATTACAAGAAACACTTCAACAACAAATAGCTCAAGAACAACAAATGCAACAAATGGAACAACAAAAGTCAAGAATAAAAATAATATTTTTTTTATTTTTTATAAAAATGTACAGAATAGATGTTTCAGATTTTTATGACTTCCAAGCATTCAGAAATATGTGTCCATTTAGAGACTATAACAAAGCAGTCGAGAATTTGAAACGTTTAGTCATTTATGTTGACTCTGCCCCAGAATGTTATGTCATGAAAGAATGGATGTTGTCTTTAAACAAACCAAGAGCAACAATAGTGTCTGAACAAGAATGTAGACAGAAACTTAAGAAAATAAAAGTTGTACAAGTTGGCATGAAGATGTTAGATGCTTGGGATATCTTATTGTCAAAGTTAGAAGATTTTTCAGTTCGAGGTATAAAGTTCTATACACCTTCTCCAAACTTCTATTCTATCTTCACTGGATATAAATACGAACAAGTAGAATGGAAAGAAAATATTATAGAAGCTTGGTTAGACCATGTCAAAGAAATTATATGCAATGGAAACGAAAAGGTTTATGAGTATATCTTATGTTGGTTTGCAAACATCTTACAACATCCAAGTGCTAAGAATGAAACTGCTCTCATTATAATTGGAAAACAAGGAACAGGTAAGAAACACATTCTTTACAGATATTCTTATGCAAACTGTTAGAAGGTTATTCGAACCCTAATATGACAAACTTAGAAAACATCTGCGGTAAATTTAACTCTTCAATTGAGAATATGAAACTTATAGTTTGCAATGAACTTCAAAGTATAGATACAACAAAAGTTTTGAACTCAGATGCTTTGAAGAGTCTTATAACAGACAAAGTTGGAGTTGTTGAAAGAAAGTATAAAGACCAAAGAGTTTGTGAAAATGTTGCAAATTTCATCATGGTTTCAAACAATGCTGTTCCGATGAAGTTAGAAAGTTCTGACAGAAGATATGTAGTTGTCAGAACGTCAGATTCTCATATGCAAGATACAGAATATTTTGACGCTTTGTCAGAAACTTTGACATCTGACTTTTACAACCACTTGTTCTCATATTTCATGACATTAGATATTTCTAAGTTCAATCCAAGACAAATTCCACATACCGAAGAGAGACAAACATTGTTAGAAGCAAACAAGAGTGTATATGAACTGTTCATAGATGAAACTGACTTTGTGTCATTAGATGAAAGGTCATTATACGATTCGTATAAACAATATTGTCAAGAATATGGTTATATGGCAGCTTCTAAACGAACATTCTTGGCAAATGTCAAAACTCTTTTAGACGTACAGAATGGTGTATATACAAAGAAAAATTTTTCTGAGTAAATTTTAAAAAAAATATTTTTTTATTCTGAAGAAAAGATGGCAAAATTCATCTCAGTAAATAAGTACATGACAGAAGTCAAAGATAAGTTAGCTCCATTCACATATTTGAATGTTTACTTCTACCATTTTGAAAAGTCTTCATTCAGCAAAGTTTGGAACATCGAACCAGTTAAGTTTGCAGTCGTCAGAAAAAGTGGTGCAACATTTGAAGACTTAGAGATAGAAGGTTTGTTAACAGTCAAAGAAAATTTTGACAGAAAGTTCTCAAACCTTAAAGAAGGCAAAGCATACAAACTTGTTATACCTTATGAACCAAAGAAGACAGACGACTATGAATATTATGAGTCTAAAGTTGTAGAAGTTCAAGGTAAATTGGGTAAAAAGATTTTAGAGTCTAAGCCAGTGTTTGCTCCTAAAGAGGAAGAGAACATTGACATTGACCCAGAAATGTTCTAAAAATAAAATTTTATTTTTACATGTCATATCTCCCCTTCTCTGGAACTGGCTCTGGTTCAGGTTCTTTCTTCTCTTCTACTTTTTTCTCTTTCTTTCCTTTCTTCTTCTTTTCTGGTGGAGTTATGTCAAATTTCTCAGAACCATATTTCTGTAAAAGTTCTTTGTCCTTTAATAGCTCATCTATTCTGTTTTCTATTTCATCTTCAAGAACAGCGCATGTGTCTTCTTTGCATTCTAAGAACTTTTGTTGGACTTCATCTCTCCAAGAGGCGTCATCTCTGTCAACAAGTCTGTCATTGACAAA